AAGTGATCCCTATATGTCGCCACTACTCCGTAGAGGCGACACAAAAAATCCCCGTCAGCGTGAAAACTAGTTGTATTGGTGGTATCACAGAGGTATCCTCATTACATAAAAATTTAAAAAACATGTATTTCATAAGTCAATTGTAGCTACAGTCCCTCCCTAGCACCGTAGAATATTGAGAAATTTGACTTTTTATATTCAAACGCCTGGTTAAGGCCTCTACCTGAGGAGACAGTCAAATGGTGAAAATCTGCTAAAAACCCCGCGACTTAGATTTATACATGTCCCCAAACATTTTGCCGCTGTAACTACGTAAAACCACGGTACTGACCTGGAAGTGGAGAACAAACAAATATGTCAAAATTGAGGCTCGGCTCTTCTGCTATCACCTTCCTTTCCCCGAGGGTGGATGAGTTGTAAGGTGATACAAAATGAAGGAGATCTAGAATATTTTATCAATATTTTATTTCATGACTATCATCTGTAAACAAAGTAACAATCAAGAAGCGCACAACCTGAATTCACATATATACATATAAATATCTAATGTAGCTAATAATGTTTATAACCAGACAATAATTACATCACTGATGATTTCAAATGAGAACAAGTCAAGCAAGATATGTGCAAAATAAACTTCTCCAAAAACCGGATATCCGGTTATGTTTTGTCCATTAAAAAATAAGAAAATTTCATCTCCGTGTACAAAAATTAAGTAGGAAAGAACATAAAATTATGCTCGAACAGATCTTAACATGTAAAACACAAGTTCAGACTTACCATGTAACATGTAAAAATCTGAATTTAAGGTGAATTTAACATGTGAATACAAGAGCTCATACTGAACTTTACAATGGAAAAACAAAAACTCAGACAGAACTTAACGGCTGAACTATGGGATACCATATATCATCATATTGTAGTTAAAAGTTAAAGACAACTTTTCAAACTACACAATTAAGAATGTAAAAAATGTGTTCCAAAAACAAATAACTATATAATGATGGTAGACAGACGGCAGTCACCCTAACTATGGCATGTACAGAAAACATATCACAAAGCACAAAGAGACCATTTTGATCATTTGTTATATGACTATATAATCCTGCTTGACACGATTTTATGAAGACCAATATTAAAATATCCCAATCTATGGCCTAATTGAATAACGATACATGTATTATAAAACATGCCTAATGGAAAACTTGAAAACTTAAAAATCATTCTCTCAAAGTAAAAATGAACAAACATAAATGAAATTGGAAGATACATAAATCTTTGACCTAGTTTTTGCATCCAACAATTTTAAAAATCATGCCTGTCTATTTCTTACTAACTGTCGTCAACAGCATCTTTCAACCAATCATTAATTTAAACTGTGCATCTATTTGGCACACCTACAAAAAGTAGGTCAAAGACTAAGCTACTAGAACAAAATTAAACACTTTAAAACAGCTACAATCAGTCATTCTGCTCCTTTCTTTCAACTGTTTAAATTGTTTATTTTTTTCTGTTCAACTTAAAAAATTTGATGTAGGTACAAAAATAACAATACAAAGTGCATTATATGCTATAGAATAGAAAGCAACATAAAATTGGCAGCTTAAAAATAAATACAATGAAACAGACTCTAAAAAAATGAGACATCTAAATTTCATATATAATATGGGTGATATTAATATCGAGTGTCTAAATAAGGTATGGTAATTTCACTGTCAGTCATGATTATCACCTAAGTAGAAAGCTCAGCACAACACTCTTCAATTAGGCCGAAATAATCAGGTTTCCAAGTCACTCATATAAAAACAGCAAAAAATGGGGTTGGTAGTTGGCTATTTTATTTCATGTTATATGTGAAAAACACCTTTATTCTTGGTATTTTAGGCTTACTTTTACAATGCATGTCATGTACAATAAAGGTGTTTAAAATAAGAAACCAAATTTATATATTAATGAGAGATTTTTATACAAATTGATGTTAAAGTGTTGGTCAGACAAGATATCAAGATCACAGGTACATGTAAAATTAATGGAGAGTCACAAGAAGAAACAGTAACAGATTATAAAATTGTGTGTATCCAGAGTTGTTTTTTTTCCAAATACAATGGCATCTTAATTTTTAACACTGTGGTGTGACACTAAAAACAGTATCAAAGTTTTCGCTGGAAACAATTGCTGGAAACAGCATGCATTATATTTGGTTGTAGTGACCAACTGAATCAATATCAGCATTAAAACAAGCATTTTTATCTACCTTATGTTAAGCACAATAAAAAGAGAGAGAATGAGAAATGGCCATCATTTAATGCAATAATGTAGTTACTGTACTGACTAAAGGAACGAGTTGTGACAGTTGTGAAAGCTTTATCAGATAAAATATTGTGTAAAATCACAATGTTAGCTACAGTATTATAAATACATTCATTATAAATCTATCCAGCAATATGTAACAGTACTGCTGGATTTATCTACCTTTATAACACTACCAGAAATTTCCTGACCACATAAAAAAAGCAAGATTACTGCATATAACACCTTGATTTGAAAAGATTATAACAAACATGCATGGTTACAAATAACACACGTTATTCATTTTACCTTGATGTTACATATAATACCTTAAACTTTTACCTAGATTTGAACATGCTATAATGAACAGGCATGGTTACATATAATACCTGATATTTTGCCTTAATTTTAACAGTTTATGTTTTGTTTGTTTGTTTGATTTGGGTTTTACGTCACATCGACACAGTATAGGTCATTTGGTGATGTTCCAGCTTTACTGGTGGAGGAAGACCTCAGGTGCCCCTCCGTGCATTTTTTCAGGCACGAACAGACATCTGAGTAGAACCATCGACGTTAGCTGGATAGCTTCCTCACATGAAAGAATCCAAAGTCCCTGTCGGGATTCGAACCCACAGCAGTTAGGGGCAAGTGGTTTGAAGTCAACGACCTTAACCACTCGGCCACGGACGCCCCCGAACAGTTTATGATAAAAAGGTATGGTTACATATAACACCATAACATTTTGTTACCTTCTTAAAGGACAAGTAATACTAAACATACATCAAATCTGTGAATTAATACATAAACTTCTTGGTTATCATACAAGTGTCTACATGCTCTGTAAAAAACATGTAAATTTTATCTACTGGAGACAAATGAAGCGTCGACAAATTATAATAAGCTCACTGCATGATCTGTATTAATCTTGCCATGTTAAATATTTGTAATAACTTGTTTAAAAACTGTAAATGTGGTCAATGACAACTCTTTGGTGAATAAATACAACGAAAATGGAAAAAAGTTTAAAATAATGGTTTTGTTATTACGCAAATAAAAATATACTTAAATTTATAATTTATATAAAATTAGCATTATTAAATTTAAATATTAAAATAAATTTTGTGTGAATGTTTCTTTACTGTGATAAAATCTGTTTCACAGATAAATATGTATATACCTAATGTCTGGCCATAAATTTGACCTTCTTTGATGCCTCAACCTTAACTTTAAGCTGATAAATAAATTAAGCTTTAGTAAAAAAAAAATAAGAATTAAATCACTACCAAGTTTAAATTAATATTTTTACATAATAAAAAACCTTGTACAATAAAAATATTACAGCCTTACAGCAAAATATGTTTAACTTAATAAAGACTTTGTCAAAAAGTTTTTAAAAACAATTTATTGTAAAATAAAATATTTGCCATATAAATTATCACAACCAATAAAAAAAATACATCAGATCCTTAAAAACTCAGTATTATATTGTTCAAATATATATAAATCATTAACAACTTTTAAAATACTCAAAACAAATTAAAAAACAATTATTAAATCACAAACAATTGATCTTAATAAGTCATTTTAACTTCCTTTTGTCAACTTAACATTTTTTAAGATATAAAATTTTAATAAAATCAGAACAAACTAAGTACATTTGTATTGTTTTGTGTATACATGCAGGAACACAAATATTGGCAGCTTTGAATTATTGTTTTTCTGCCATTTAATGGCAGAAATAAAACCAGATACACCACATACATCAGTCAAATACTTCAATGACACACTAATTATTACAATACATTGCAGACTTACACTAATCTAACAATTGTCTGACAAAAGTTAATACTGACAAAGAATTCAATTTCAAAACTCTATTTCATCAATATTTTAAGTAACTCTTTTATATAATTTTTTACAAAAATTATCAAGTAAAACAATTACACCAATTCAACTTATTCAAAAGCATTTTTTCTAAATGATTATAAAAACAAATCTGGTTCAAGCTATTAGCATTAAATATGTTGTAATAAAAACATCACTGGAAGATGTACTATACTGTAACAATAATTTCAAAACAATTCCAAAATTAAAACAATGAAAGCCCTTGCAATAAACAATATGAATTCTATGGAAATATTGTACTGTGATGTAAACTTATTAATAATCAGCATTCTAGGCTTGTCACACGACATTAGATGTATGCAAACATTTTTTTATATATTTTATTACCAGTAATAAACCTTGACACTAGACGAAAATTGTGACAGTTTATCAATGCCTAACACTAGCACATGACAAAGACAACAATTTTATTTTTTACCTTGGTTTACACATCTTTACACATTACAACATCTTTCTTTTTTTTGTTGGTTTATGTATGTCTGGAAAACAAAAAAAAAAGCTCTTTCTTTGTCTATATGTTAACATATGACCTAGGATACAACACAATAACTCTATTTTGGCTTACAGAAAAGGTTCTATATAACAATGCGGCAAGATCTAACAACAAAAAAAGCATTACACAGTAATTACGCTCATGACAAACAACTATCCTCTAGCGAAACCCTGACAAAGCATTATCTTTTTTACTCCCCCATATTAGCACATTTTTGCATATACATTAACAATAAAAGAGAACATACATATCACATGATAAATTACATTATGAGGTAAACTATTGTTGAACGACGTGATAACAAGCAGGAATCGTTTGTATATGGCAAGATTAAACACGGTGAAAAGTCCTAATGTCATAGATATTTACGTACAACTAAGTTCTGTGATTTCCTGATATAGATATGACATGATAAACCCTATGTGAAAACCCTAACATGACATAAATGTTTCTACCACAATTATATAAGGTCATATATGACAACTTCCCAGCTTTACTGGTGGAGTAAACACTCAGGTAACTCTCCATGCATTACATGCGCTACCTAGTACCGGAGTAGAACCACTGACCCTCTGTCAAGCTACCTGGATACCTACCACACCATGAAAGATTTCAATGTCCCTGAAAGGATTCGAACCAACAATAATGAACGGCGAGACATTGGAGGTCAACAACTTCAATCACACAGCTACTGAGATAAACTCAACACTGTTACTATTTGTAAAATCAATCAAGTTAGCAACTTACGAAGATGTTTTCTTTATACACAAATAAGAAACTGATGGAATTAAATGCCTTAATTGGTTTGCTGCCATTGAATCTTAAACAATGAGAATTTCATAGTTCAGAAATTTGACATACACATATACACAAGATCATGCAAAGGCAATCTTATTAAAACATTCCAAAATATAACAGTAAAATCAGTAAAATGAACTTCACTCGCCAATCACTATTTAACATCATAGAAAAATTTAAAATACTAAATTCACATTTTTAAAACTCACAATATGCTCAAATACTAATTATCAAATTGCTGGATATTTTTAAGAACTTTTATCATGAAATTCACACAGTGAATGTCAAAAAAGACAAATACAAAGTTCACAAATGAGCTGGCCATGACAAAACCAAAATAATGGGTTTTGCGACCAGCATGGATCCAGACCAGCCTGCACATCCGCGCAGTCTGATCAGGATCCATGCTGTTTGCTTACAAACCCTATAACAAGTAGAGAAAGTGATAGCAAACAGCATGGATCCTGATCAGACTTTGGGAAGTGCAGGCTGGTCTGGATTCATGCTGATCGCAAACCCATTATGTCGGTTTTGTCATGGCGCGGCTCAAATGTTACCAAATGTTAACAATCAAACTGCTGAATTTTTTTAGAACTTTTATCATCGTAAAATTTAAATGAAAACAAAGACGGTGTAGGCGTAGCAAGAGAAAAAGAGAAAGGACTAGTAGGTCGGAACTGGTTATTTCCGTGTAACGTTGAAGCACTTAAGTTTTCCGATGATCTTGATCGTTTGGATGCTGGCTGAGGAATACGAGTGTGGTTATGCGAAGAAAAAGTCGATCTCCTATGACTAGCACCATGACTCCCAGAATTAACCGACAATGAACCAAGGGGGCTGGCTCGACTCGACGATGGTAAAGCACCATGTATAGGGATATTTAAGCCTAGAACTGGGGAGCGTATTTCTAGCTTTGGCACTTTGGCTTGTATGTCATTCGGTTGCTGGTTTCGAGTATCGTGTATTACGGGAATTTCTATCTGGTGTGTACGCATAAGAGAATCTTCCGAAAGACTGCGACGTTTATATGTATTGTTGTTGTTGTTATTATTGTTCACTACAGTGTTAGTAAACTGAAAATTGCCATCTGTAGAATTTCTGAGGAGAAAAACAATATATATAATCTTTTTTTACTCTACTTCAAGTTTAATTATTAGTTAACAAATCAGTAAGGCAAAGCATACCATAAATCAAGAGGCCCAACTTGAGTTACTACAGACTGTATTAAACAAACCATTACATTGAAATATTTCAGCTCATAGCTGATCACCATTGATTTAACTAGATACATTTTTATTATATATATATATCTATATATTTTAGCTTGTAATGTTTGAAAAGGTAATTTGATCACTCTTCTTATCTGTCATTAATTAAAGCATAACTATATACATAGCTAAATAGCTTGTAATTCTTGAAAATGAAATTAGATGGCTTGACCTAAAAACAACTGTAGTTTTTCAGTAATTACAACATTAAGTTAAATACAAACCTATGTTTTGACCTTGATGTATTTATGTCAAGGTTGTTTCTATGGTTACCATTATGTAGTGACCTTCTCTGACTGACAGTAGATGATGATACAGGACTTTGTTTATCAATTTTAAGTGGAACATCTAACTCATTGCTACCACAGAATGTAGCTAAATAATCATCTTTCTCTGAAAATAAATATACAGATGTTGTATAACAAGTTAGGCCTAACAAATTCCACATAACTCCGTAATAACTCAAAACATAAAAAAAAAATCTATATGCCAACAAGTTGTATTCATAAAGTGAATGCACACCATATGTTTCACTAGCTTGAAAATTTAAAATTCTGAGGTGAAAAAAAATCACTTCTTTGCAATGAAATACCATGATTACAAGCTAAAGAGAGATATATGATAAAAAAAAGGACCACACTGCAATTTACCAAGTAAGCCATCGACAATCTCACAATTTTAGTTTGTCTTTCCAAAGCTTTTTAATCGTATGTAAAGTTCTAATAATCATGTTTTCACTTTATGAAAGTTATCTGACTTACAAAAATGCTTAAGTATCAATGAGGGCTCCAATATATATACTATTCAATATAAAATATCCAATTTTCCTAATTACTCAAAAAAAAAACATGTTCTTACTAGAATAGGAACTCCTGTCTTGATGTGTGTTTTTATCTGATGTTGGATCCATGTTTAGAAAATAGTAGTAAAACAAACACCTTTTTGCAATAAGTTAAAGTTTAATGAAAGTACCTTGACCATTGAGTGGACATCCAGGCACTATAGCTCTCTGCATAAGTACATATAGTGCAGTGTTAGCCACTTTCTGCTGACCATCTTTAGCACCAGTACCCTTCAATACAGCACTCTTCACTGCTGGTGATATTGTCTCATTCCATAACTTCTGCATCCAACTGTATAAACAAATGAAAAATGTCTTTAAAATATAAAATACATATACTGACATGAAAACCGATACATATTATATAATGTACCTATGTATTTAACTTGGAGCAAATGTTGGTAAAATAACGTGTTGATATATTTTTTGACAGATTAAATATTATGAAAGAATAAAACATAATTATAACTAAATAAATTTAGGAACAAGTAAGTATACAATGTCTTCTAGCCCAATGTAGTCATATAACCTAGCAACTTTTACAGTCATAACCAAAGATTTCATAATATGTAACCATGTAGACAAGTAGTTTTACTCTGGTAGCAGTGACCTCCACTTACTTTTCTCCAGCTTCTTCTACTCGGGTGTCTGCTTGTGCTAGAATTAATGGGCAACTAAGGTGTTCCTCCACCAGTAAAGCTAAAAAGTCACTGTATGAGTTTTACCAATCGAACAAACAAACAAACAAAAAACCAAACTTACTCTAGTACAATTTTAGCATTTTGTGACTCAACTGGACAAGGCATAAACATATCGGGACCAAATACAACATCAGGAAGGCCAAGTTTGCTCACACCATCGTTTAATCTTTGCCACACACAAAGTAACCATTCCACTACCTGAAAATGTTTCATAAATTAATAAACCAGTCTGTTAAATCTATACTGCACACTGATGCACATGTTTGTTTTTTTGCTGGTTAAAGCACCTTTCTAACAATATTTTAATCACAAACTGGTGCCTGATAATGATCAAAAGAAACTGGATTCTGTACTATAACAAACCTGTTCACCCGAAGTAACTTTTCTGAAATACCACTGTTTGAATAATACGTTTTTACTTTAAACTTTGCATTTGTTTGGTGAGATTTTTTATTCTCGTTGTGTCCAAAGTTTATAACAAGAAATTAAATATGTATGCAGAGTAGCAGACCTGTGGAAAATATCATTTAGCCTGCAGTTAAAACTATGTGTGCATTAGTATAGGTAAAGTGGATTTTGTTGACAGGTTATCTTAGGATCATGTCATTTTCACTATAGTTAACAAAACAGAGGAAAACAAAGCAATGGCTGTCACAGCCTTGTTTTTTCTATTTATAGTCTTTAACTCTGCATACAATTTCATTTTATTTTTTAAGTTCATAAAATACTGAATTGAATTAAAATCAATGTCACTCAATGTTTAAAACCAACTACAAAAAAGAGCATAATAAAGATTTAGTATAATCACCTACTCTTGGCATGAGAATTTTCAAATTTTCATTCAAACACAAATCAACATTGCACAAGCATAGTACATATATGGAGTTTAGTTTACAAAAATGAAATGGTCAATTATTTATAATTTCAAAGATAAGATCTGAATATCTCCATACCTTGAATACACTATCATCAGCAGATGGCAAATTTCCGCCATATGTGTGCAACAATCGACGCAGCAAATGACGTCCTAGTAAATTTTTTATCGGTTCGACCTTCACACGAAAATGAACCCACCGAAATCTTTGCTGCAGTCCAAGGTCAAGTCCAGTGGATCTGTCATGAGTAAAATTAATGTAATGACTCTACACATAAACTAGAACTGCCACTGTCATGGCGTGAATACCCCCGCATACCACTTTGTCAGAATCAACAGTGGCCATTTAGTGCTTAAGGACAAGTCCCTGCCAAATCTGAGGTTACTAAGCCAGTGCTATTTATTCTACATGCTTCAAATGTGAAAATGTCAAAATCAATAAACTGCGGACAGGCATTCTTAAGCAATTGAGGGGAAAAGCTTTTTTTAGTCGACCTTTGACCCAGTGTCCCTCAAAATCAATAGGGGTCACCTTATAGTCATGATCAACCTCCATGCCAAATATGAAGACTGTTTTTAAGTTAATGGGTGGACAATCTTTTTGAAGTCAAAGTCCATGTGACCTTAATCTTTGACCCAGTGACCTTAAAATAAATAGGGGTCACCTACTAATCATGACTAACCTCCATGCCAAATATGAAGACTGTGGGTCAAAGGAATCTTAAGTTATTGAGCGGACAAGCTTTTTTAGTCAAGGCCCCTGTGACCTTGACCTTTGACCCAGTGTAATAAAAATAAATAGTGGTCATCTACTTATCATGACTAACCTCCATGCCATATATGAAGACTATGGGTCAAAGGTTTCTTAAGTTATTGGGCCGACAAACTATTTGAAATCAAGGCCCCTGTGACCTTGACCTTTGACCCAGTGACCTCAAAATCAAAAGGGGTCATCTACTAATCATGACTAACCTCCATGCCAAATATGAAGACTGTGGGTCAAAAGAATCTTAAGTTTTTGGGCAGACAAGCTTTTTATAGTCAAGGCCCCTGTGACCTTGACTTTTGACCCAGTCAACTTAAAATCAATAGGGGTAATCTACTAATCATGACTAACCTCCATGCCAAATATGAAGACTGTTGATCAAAGGTTTCTTAATTTATTGGGCGGACAAACTTTTTAAAGTCAAAGTCCCTGTGACCTTGACCATTCACCTGGTGACCTCAAAATCAATAGGGGTCATCTACTAATCAAGATAAACCTCTATGCAAAATATGAAGACTGTGGGTCCAAGGAATCTTAAGTTATTGGACGGACAAGCTTTTTGAAGTCAAGGCCCCTGTGACCTTGACCTTTGACCTGGTGGCCTCAAAATCAATAGGGGTCATTTACTAATCATGACTAACCTCCATGCCAAATATGAATAGTGTGGGTCAAAGGAATCTAAAGTTATTGGGCGGACAAGCTTTTTGAAGTCAAGGCCCCTGTGACCTTGACCTTTGACCTGGTGACCTCAAAATCAATAGGGGTCATCTACTCGTCATGACTAACCTCCATGCCAAATATGAAGACTGTTGGTCAAGGAATCTTAAGTTATTGGGCGGACAAACTTTTTGAAGTCAAGGCCCCTGTGACCTTGACCTTTGACCTGGCGACCTCAAAATCAATAGGGGTCATCTACTCGTCATGACTAACCTCCATGCCAAATATGAAGACTGTGGGTCAAAGGAATCTTAAGTTATTGGGTGGACAAGAAAAAACCGACGGACGCCCGACGGCCGGACAGACAAGCTGATTCCAGTATACCCCCCTTACAACTTTGTTGTGCAGGGGTATAAAAACATATTTCTTTCTTTACAGTAAAAATTTAATTAAAAACTTATTTTGAAAAAATGAAGAAACTGTTACTGATTAAAGCTGGTCTTCAATCTGATAACACTCCAAATGTTTAAATGGAAAATGTCACTGGCTTCTATTTCTAAGCTTTTATCCTTGAAAAGGATTTACCTCTGTCTAAGAGATAACTGTCGTGCGCCCCTTTTGATTTTCAGTGTCATTTTAAGAGGTAGCTTTTTTATGCCAGAATGCTAGAAATGCAAACTTTCAAAATGTTAAATAGTTCTTAACAAAAGGATGAAGAAACCCAAGAGTGAATGGCTGTGCACCAGTAACCTGCATAGACAACATTTAACCATAGTGTGTTGATTCCTTTAAAATCATAGAGGATATATATACAAAATTTGTCAATTACAACAATGGTGAAGAGAATATTACTATCGATGACAAGGTGTTGTCAAAGTAACAATTACAATATTTGTTCAACACTTGAAAAAAAAACTGTAAAAATGAACAAGTACCTTGGTTTATCCATTGTGGCAATAAGATAGAAATTCTGTGGAAAGTAGTAAAGATCCTTCACATCTCCAATACCTGTAATGGTGGAGGAAAAAAGGTAATTTTATAAATGTCACTAGCACAGTAATGTAAATTATCATGTATTAAATTCAAATTCAAATAAAAATAATGAGGTAGAAGATAAATGGAAATAATTTAATTTGCAATACAATTCCTAAGAGCTGGCTCATGTGTTACCTAGTTTAAAACTTTCCTAGTCAATAAGAATCATTGAGTTTGATAAATTGAAGGCTGCCTCAGCTACATTCATGAGGCAGGGGAAAACGTTTTTCAAGTTCTTTTTCTTTCATTACTAGTATATAAGTTTGGTTTAAATATACTTATTTAAGCTTGATTGTGAAACAAGTGCTTGCAACTTTCATTAATCCATTTTGAGTCCGTTTCCTGGAATTAATAAGTACTGGTGTCATATGAAGAAACATGGTCGTGACTCAATTAGGGCTCGAACCCATGATCCCTGGGTTGAGAGTTTATAAGTTTATGAAATGAAATGCGTGCAACTTTTTCAATTTCTCCAGGCAGAATTTGTTCACAATAAAACCAAATGGCCTGACTTACCTGGAAGAGTAAATGTATATTGCGGTCCTCTATGTTCTATGTGTTCTAGTAGACTACCTAACATCTCAGCTAGCTGAACCTTCTCCAGGTGAAACAATGTTAATATACATGTCCTTACGCTGTTCATACCCACTGGCAGAATACAACCTGCACAACACAAATATCATAGACATTATTGTGTATAATATCAAAGTCCTAACAAAATAGACAATGTGCTCTTAAATGACAAGTATCAGTCTAAAGGACATAAGAATTTAGGCTTTACTAACCTTTGGTCTTTTAATTCTGACCAAATGGGAAATATGATATTGTATTATATTTCATGACAGAGTTTCTAATTACTGTCTTTATTTAGAGGGGATCTTAAACAAATGCTTTACAGTTATTGTTTTTTTTCCAAATAATGGTCATTTCTTAAGAAGTGCACTAAAAGTTTAAATCCATACAAATATACAAAAGATACAGTTGGGTTTTGAACAAAATCAAACCATTATCAAGTTAACAACTTTTTAAAACTTATTCTGCATATACATGTAGGTATAGTGCCAGTTCTAACAGTATGTAAGTATTATATTGGTGGCCAATTATTAAAAAAGTGTTCCTAGATTCTATACTAGTACTACCCTGTTTTACCTCAAGGAACTGTAAATCTCTAAATGTTCATCATAAATAACAGTGGCTGAGGTCAAATATAGGTGTGGCCTAGCTTTTCAGGTATTTGCCTCTCAATCTTAGGACACAGGCTAAAGCCCTACTGGGGTCAAAAGCATGTCATATGACTCCAATACAAGTTAGTTAGGAAGGGGGTTTCAAGGACAATTCAAATAACTTACAAGCTTTTTCATTCAATATTGTTTTAACTAAATGGAAAAAATGGAATATTGTTGTGAATCCAAACTGCCATGGAAATTATTTTTTTTACCCACATTTCAAACTCTATAACCTGTTCAATAATCTCTAATATGAAACCACTTTTTTACACATAATTTTACATATCATTACTTACCCATTTTACATGTCATTATTTCTTGTTAAAACACTTATATTATTATGGTGCCTTATTATAATTGTGAACTGCATTTTATTGGACATTATTTGCACTATACATGGTAGTAAAACAAACCTTCTGAGTTAAGAAGACGAAGTAAATCTCTATGTCTGAAATCTCGATGAAGATAGACTTGAGACGATCTTGCTTCCACACCTTGTGCATACTCCTTATCCTACAACAGTAGAATCTTATTATACAATGACATGTTACCCTTAATTTATACAATCATTTACATACATATTACTGTCAAGTTTCTTTGCAGTTTTAAGTTACATCCACACTGTTTAAAGTGTATAAAGCTATTTTTCTGCTGCAAAAATTATTATTTGAATTTTTTTAAAAACAATACTTCCAAAATGCTTATATGAAGTAAATATGGTAGCATGCCTTAAAAGTGAATGGTGTACGCACGGAATCATTGCTAAACAGTTAAAACCGTACCTGAAATAGCAACATAATATTTTGTTTTGAAACATTTAAGTAAAATATCCATATGTGTTAATTTACATAGACATTTTATGTTGCGGCTGTTTCATGAATCGACCTTCAGATTATGGAAAAAACATTATTTTACTGTTATAAATTTTATAAAAATATTTCATATGATATAGTGTAATACGCCTTAAAGCCCTACATACGACAACTTTCCAGCTTTACTTGAAAAAAACTATCTCAGGTCCACTATTGTGCATCAATATTTTTATAATGAGAATGCACCAGGGTATAAACCATCCACCTTCTGTTTGCTTCATAAGAGGATTCAATTCTATTGGACATTGATTCAATTGTTGTAATAAGCAAATTAATATACCAAAGATACTTTACTAACTAGTGACAGAGATTTCACAACAACATTTTACTAATAACTTTCCAGAGATAGTATCACAATGTTTGTCTATGCTTGATACTTATAAACACATACTATTTCAAAAACTTCTGTTATTCATTTGGTTTTTGTGCTGATTTTAACACATTTTTTAGTCATACTTTTTTAGTTAACTATCTAGTTAATTACCAATGTCTGCACAAGGCCACATAATTTCTGAATTAGCCGCCAGAGACAAATGAGCAGCGTCATGACAAAACCAACAAAATGGGTTTGCGACCAGCATGGATCCAGACTAGCCTGCGCATCCGCACAGTCTGATCAGGATCCATGCTGTTCGCTATTAGTTTCTCTACTTGTTATAGAGTTGGTAATGCACAGGCTGGTCTGGATCCATGCTGGTCGCAAACGCACTATGTTGGTTTTGTCGTGACGCGGCTCAAATGACTATGTCTGAGATCAACTGTCAGGATAAATTTCACCTCACACAAGGATCAAACCCAAGATTACAAATCCAATGAGCTAAGCAGGCTAGTCGTAAGAACTAATTCAAAATGTAGTTGCCATATGAGCACCAAATTAAGGTTCTTCAATAGGTAATGACACATAAAAATAGTGTGAGAACTTACAGCTATATGCCTTGCTAGTCTTTTAACAAGCTGTTTCTTCCTCGTCCCCTCTGGTCCATAAAATACAACACTTTTATACTGATCAAGCTGAAAGATGGAAAATAAACAATAACTAAAATAAATGTTCACTACTAGACAAAATGTTCTGCTCTTTACCATCAATCTAAAATTAATGTACTTCAACAAAATTTAAGGATATAATTTAGTTCTCTCATTGTATAATTTCAGCATTCTCTTACCAAGCTAACTATCTTAAATGGACTTGTCACCATCTGGTATAGAACATTCATAATTTTAAGGGAAATTATCAAAGTTAGTGCAGTTCATGATCATATATACCTAATAAAAAAAAACAACAAAAAAAAAAAAAAAAAAAAAAACTGATCATTATTTTCTTACCAATCTTGTATAGTTGTTGATTGCTGAGACAGGAAGTAGAAGGTCAAAGGCCAATGAGTCAATGTCATTTGATGAACCTACAACACATAATAAAGTTGTTATATTAAATCTTTTAATGTTCAATCATAATGAACAGTAAATGTTACATAACTTCTTATCTGTCGATGATCAACTATGAATGAATGCCATTTTTGTATAAAAACCATTCAACACTTTTTTTTTATTTTTGCCAAGTTTTTGTTAAATTTAAACATCATCTACATAATTACTGTGTACAATAACTGACAAACCAATTCATAAGTTACTATCAAACCAAAAATTTCCACTTCATAAAAAGCAACTTATTACATCATTTATTCTTATTTAATTAGCTAAAGAAACCATGCACATTATCCAATAATTAATGAAACTTCTTGAAATATTCTATTTTTTAATATATCAGTAAACCATTTATGTAGAATAAAAACTTATTACATCATGTTTTTCTAATGTAATTAGCTAAAGAAATCATGCACATTATGCAATAATTAATCAAACTAAATTTCTTTTTTTTCTCCCAATATATCAATAAAGAGCCTAACCAGAACTTACAACCAACTTAAGTAACTTTCAATCTTTCAAAACCAATTGAATTTTCCCTATACATTTTTATTAAAATAACAAAAAAAAGAGTAAATAATACAGCTTGTGACCTTTTAGTTGAACATCAGAGTTAAATGGTATACATATACATGCACATGCGTTAACTGGAGTGCGATATTAGTTACCCGCACTCCAGATCATACCCAATGATAGGCTCATTTTTCCTGGGGTTTACTTATTGTGACGGAAGAGAAAGATAAAGCAATAGAAATATTATATTTAGATGTTCGTTCATTGGTTATTTCATTTCTTTTTTCTGGGGTTTCATATTTTGACAACAGGGCTATGACACTAAAGAGAATGAACATCAAAACACTCGGCAATCTGATTAAAACTCAGGGGCTACGCCCCCTTGTACAAATCAGATAGCCTCGTGTTTCGATGCTCTTTCTATTATTTGTATTGGTGACTACTGGTATCTCCTTTCTAAAACAAATGAATGGTAAAGGTTGGAACATAATGATCTTTACTTGCACTTAACTTTAAGATTAAATAGTATACCTTTAATTGCACTTATCTTTAAGGTTAACTAGTATAACTTTACTTGCACAAGTTTACCTTTAAGGTTATTTGTATTACTTTACTTGAACTTACCTTTAAGGTTACATAGTACACCTTTAATTACACTTACCTTTAAGGTTAACTAGTATGGACGGCTGATCTAGAATACCAACTACCTGTTGTACAGGTATATTTGGGAACTGGCCATATCTATTCCATGTTAGAGATCCTGTTATAAATAAGTTTACACATTATCTCTAAAGTAAATAGGTTTTTATTGTTTCGGATACTTTATAAGCAATTCTTTTATATGTTTAGAATTAAAGCATTCATCAACAGTACCTGTCTGCAGTCCGACAGGAGTCCCTACAGTAAGTTGCTTAATTCTAGCGTCTTCATATCGAAATCCCTTATGCTAGCCCATATAGCTCAATCAATTAGACCACAAGACTTGTAATCTAGACATTGTGGGTTCGATTCTCAGGCTGGCAATCAGTCATTCGGATGAGACTTTAAATTGAGGGGCATCTTTCTGTATCAGTATCTTGCACTATCCTCCAAAATATTAAATGACTTTTACTCTTCTGGAGGCAAGTATATATGAACTCAGATACACATGCACATGAAAATGCCTCATAGTAATAAGTGACAGTTCTTATTTCAAAAATATCCATTTAATATAGCCTTATACACTTTAAAGACTACAATTGTGAGTGGTGGTGTTGGTAGTTTTCACTCCGGATCACGGCAGTAAGCCACATTGAATTTGCCAGAACTCAATTCAACCACGGCATCGTTCCTGGGCTGGCTGTCAAGCAGTTTACTTCACTTTCGCAAGGAACCTAAACTTCTGTACATACCAGAGCACAGGTACAGTGTGAATGACTGTAAAAAGGATTTCATGATCAATCACAACGAAAGTGACCTGAGCAGTCCGGGTGACCTGAGCAGTCCGGGAATCGAACCTGAGTAGCCCGATTCACAGTCCAACACTCTACCTATTGAGCTAACCAGACGGCTTACTACAATTTAGACCAAGTATAACAAAGCATACATGTGACATGTACCTATTGTATAACCACATATACTATCGGCATTAAGTCCAAGAGTAAAGTCGCCATCCTCCACATTGTTCTCAGGATCCAAACGTGAGATTTTCTTCGTTCTTAATCCATGATCAATCTGCTCTAAATAGGTCTCCACACAGTTGGCAAGAATTAAATCTACGTCATTCCACGTCATGATAGGTAAAATATTGATATGACCAATTATAAAAGGTTCCTGCTGCGAGTATAGATGTCCTGTACATTGTAACTCCACCCTAACATTCTTTAACCTGCCTTTGTTTACTGAAAATATGTAAGTTATGCAAAAGTTATGCACATTCAAGTTTGTGGGTATAAATAAAGATAAATATGTTTTGCTTATCAATACGTGAATTCAGTTTATCACACAGCCGTGCCGATTTTGCGACTCCGTAAATATGGTATTGCACGGCTGTGCTTATATTTTGACGTGACATCATTAGCGTTATACAAATATAGTGTAAAGACGTGCTAAATATTAGCGTTATACTATTGGCACGTCAATGAAAAATGACTCTTATTTCACTTTAAACAGTCTTTATTTTGGGTATGTGATAAATAGAATATTAAATTTGTGTAAGTTCATTACTGAATATATTGCACTCGTTGAATAAAATAATATAATTTTATTCAACTTGTGCAATAAATTCAGTATTGTACTTACACTCATTCAATATCCTCTATATAGTTTTTAACTTTAATCTTTTATCAATGTTAGTAGAATGCAAGAAAAACATATTCAACAATACATGTATATAAACTTTATAATATTATGCAGTTTTGCTTACTAAATCATATTTTAAAGAAACTATTGATTTTTCCAAGAGCTGTATAATTTTGTTTTATTTCACAGTTTCTGTTTTGTATACTTTTTAATAAGTAATCACCAAGCAATTTTTTTTCAACTAGGATCTGTTACCTTCTATTCATGCAATTAAGCATTCTACATTAAACCTGATTATCAATGTGCAGTAGGGAATTGTGATCTAGTGAAACATGTCTCTTTTAACTTACCATAAGGTAGGAGAATGGCCCTACATGCAGGTGAACTGACGTCTAATACTGTCCTACCCCATTTATCTCCCCTGTCTAGATCTATATCACAACATGTTAGTATCCCAGCTAAACATTCCTGAAAATAAATGTAGTATGAGGTAGTTATAAAAGCCAGTGTAACATTATTTCAACCTTGTCAATGAAAAGAGGATTCTACAGTTCTTATTTTGGATATGCAATAAATAGAATATTTATATCTGAGTAGCTTAATTGATAAATTTATTGAACTAGTTGAATAAAATAATATGCTAGCAAGAGGCGTGCATATTTATATAATTTAATTCAACTTAATTAATAAATTCAGTGTAAAATCTACACTTAACATTCTCTATAACAAAAAGTTGTGTAAAAAAACCCACAAATATACAAGGGAGAATGTTATGGTGAAATTTAATTATTTACATCTGTAGAAATGCCTTTTCTTGCATATCAGACTCGCGTTTCCGTTAGTTTTACCCATGCCGGAAATTTCATCTGGCATGGGGGGTTCCAGATGAGTCGCGTGCTGTACGATAAAGATGACGTCATTTTACCGTTATGAATGATTTTGTAATTCATACGCTGTTGAATGAAAGTAGTTACGGTTGTAATGATATAAATTTTCATTGAAAATAAAGATAAAGAATTTAAAATAAAATGGAATATGGTAGAATATGCAAGAAAAAATATCTGACATATGTTTGCGGTTCGGATCGGAATATCCGTCCCTCGGTCACCCGCCCATGGGCAGTAACTCGGCAAGCCTTGTTACCGCCCAATGGGCGGGTCACCTCGGGACGGATATTCCGATCCGAACCGCAAAATATGACAGATATTATTATTCCAAGTATAAAAAGACTAGCTGAAAGAACAGGAAAAAATACACAAAACCCCCAACAAGGAACATCGCAATGCGATGCAACCAGGTTTTCAGCAAAATATTTCACAGAAGCTTTGTCATGAAGGGGCATTTGTTTTTAATTGAACTTTTAGGAGGAATTTTGGCTTTTTTAATATTCCTCAAACAAAAATGATTGAGAAATTTTATGTTGTCTATTCGCCTTTTTTTCCCAAATGTTTTAGAAAGGTAAACAGTACTTTATTTTTGCTTAATTTTTGCATTTTTGCGTCTCTTGTCATTTTCTTTTGTCAACAATATTGGCGTGTGGTGTTTTGTGCGATATCAAAAAAAGTATGTTCACAATTTTACAAAAATACTTGAATGATGTCTTGGAAGAAACATGGGAATTTTGTGAGCGCCAGGGCACTTGATGACAAAGCTTCTGTGAAAGTTTGGTCAAAATCCATTGAGAAATGTAGGAGAAGTTGCGCACTGTAGAAATTGTTCACTATATATTCTGTATAAGTAAAAAATATACAAAGGGCCATAATTCGGTCAAATATTATCCAATCACAAAACCCCGACAATATGTGCCAGGCACTTGATAACAAAGCTTCTAAGAAAGTTTGGTCAAAATCCGTTGAGAAATGTAGGAGGAGTTGAGCACAGAAGAAATTGTTCTCTATATATTCTGTATAAGGAAAAAATATACAAAGGGCCATAATGCGGTCAAATATTATCCAATCACAAAACCCCGACAATATGTGCCAGGCACTTGATAACAAAGCTTCTAAGAAAGTTTGGTCAAAATCCGTTGAGAAATGTAGGAGGAGTTGCACACAGAAGAAATTGTTCACTATATATTCTATATCAGGAAAAAAAACAAAGGGCCATAGTTAGGTCAAATATATAACAATTGCAAAACCCTGGCAATATGTGTCAGGGCACTTGATAACAAAGCTTCTGAGAAAGTTTGGTCAAAATCCGTTGAGAAATGTAGGAGGAGTTGCGCACAGAAGAAATTGTTCACTATATATTTTATATAAGGAAAAAAAAACAAAGGGCCATAATTAGGTCAAATATTATCTAATCGCAAAACCCCGACAATATGCACCAGGGCACTTGATGACAAAGCTTCTGTGAAAGTTTGGTCAAAATCCGTTGAGAAATGTAGGAGGAGTTGCGCACAGAATAAATTGTTTACGCCCGACAGCCCGCCCGCCCATCCGCCCGCCGACAGACCTCAATCTAATAACCAGTTTTTTCCTTCGGAAAACCTGGTTAAAAAGCATATGGCACCAATGCAAGGGCTTAAAAAGATTTTGTTTAACTTATTTTGAAAAACTTACATGAGATTCTTTGCCAGCCGCCAGATGTCCCAGGTGACCTCCATCCTTGTCTAGTATGTTAAACAATGACCTTTTGACCTCTGCTAGACTTTCAAGTTTCTCCATTTCAAAAGTCAGTAATAATTCAAGTATATGAGGAAAACCAGAATGTACAGCCATATGAAACGGAGTCCAAAATGTCTGTAATAAACAGCACACTTATAATGCAACAATCACATATAGGTGTAAGTCTCAGGTCAAATTATTTAAAATTCTTTTATAATTTTGTAAGCAAATGGCATATAATTACAATTTACATATTTTTGTTTGGTCTATGTCATACCAACACTGTAAAAGTCATATGGCGACTTTTCAGCTTAACTGTTAGATCAAGACCGTACGTGCCCCTTGTGCATTATTTCAGGCATGACTAGAACTATCAATGAGCTAGCTTCTTTCTCACATGAATTCATCTAAAATCATAGGCGGGGTTCAAACCCACAGAGGTATGGAATAAAGTGGTTTAAACTTGTTTGTATAATTTAAAAGGAATGTAACCTACTATTACGAGCATCAAATGTCAAGGTATAGATGACTTTAAATCAATTGTCTATCGTTTCCGTGTGTTCCTAACCCTATAAGGGATGCTGAAATTATCATGAGGATGCCCTTTATATGAAATAATGCACACACAAAAAAAAAACACAACAAAAACAAACAGCAGCTTACATTTGTACAGGCTAATCTTGAGGCACCATGTGAGAGAAGACGTCTACAACATTCAAGATGGCCACTTAATGCAGCCCAGTGTAGAGGAGTCCAGCCAGAGTGATCACCAAGATTAGGATTGCCTCCATTTGTTAGTAATAACCGTAAACAACTGAAAAAGAAGAATACTGAAATTTGTAAATATTGGTTTAACACAATTCATTTTTTAGTTCAATTGTGTTGGAAGCTATAAGCTTATTGAAACACTCTTGAATCTATTTGTGGAAGGCAATGAGTGTTAAGTTTTTTGCTCAAGGAAATAATGGCTTGCCCCAGACAGGGTTTAAGTCTTATCCGAAGTAATGGGCAACAGTGAACCAGTGAGTAGTGTCTGCCATTCAACCAGGTAGTCAAAAGTTCAAGTCCTGCTGGGTTTATGAACTAACTTTGTCATATAACACCAGTACTAGTGTTTACTGGTAACTTTGTATAGCAATATCAAGTACACTTCACTCAAGCTTCTCATTCCTTAAATTTACAGTAAATAAATTTTGTTGATAAATATCATTGGTGAACAACCTTATAATAAGACATTGTTTTATTCTGATATTCAACTTTCATCCTTAACTTTTAAAACTGACAGAAAAACTCGCCACTACCGTTTTTACTTGGTCCAAATAAAGTTTTTTCAAACTTTAAATCTATTCAAAAGCATTGTCAAAGAAATTATTCCTTTTATCGCAAGATTAAAATTCCATGCATTGGGTTTATAAGATTCTAAAGTTTTATCCTTATCATGAAAATATGTTGACAAACTCATTATTATTCAAAGTAAATTGTATTATGCAATTTTTTTCGATAAATTGTAATCATGTGTACTAATAACATATTTTTTTACTGAAATAAAAAATGTTTTTACCCGACATGTCCCGTTGAAGCAGCACAATGTACTGGTGTTTGTTGATCATCTCTCAGGCTGTTCACATGACAACCACGCTGGATTAACAGGGACAGGCATTCTAAAAATATACATTACATGACGCTACAGTGCAACCTCAACAGAGCAGACCTTCAGTAGAGCAATGACCTTTTGGAACAAGTTTTCTCCAAGCAAACTTACTGCAATATACCTAATGCAAAAGTTAAAGACTTACAAAATAAAGTTATGTTCATTTGACAAATCAATCTTTTCAATTTTTTTCCAAAATGGAAACTAGGGATGTCTTGTTTATCCGTTTAAACGAGGAAGGTCAGATTTTAGCTAAAACGGGCTAGAAAATTCAATAACCCGCAAATGAGGTTAGAACTTCACTACTTGACAAAGGGGCAAAAGAGTTTAAATTGATTGTAAATATTACCTTAGTTTATTTTTTTAAACAAGATATGACAATTGTTTGTATTTTAGTTGTTCTCAACAATGTAAATTTCTGATCTGGTCGTATGCAGTACGATCTTAGTGGAAAATAGTTACATATTCAGGTATGTATTGTAATCATTTTGACAAAATACAAACAAAATGGCATTTTTTGTAATAAAGAAACAAAGTTAATCTTGAAAATCTAAGGATTTTATAAGAACAGTCGGTAAAAGGTTTAACACGATTATTATGTCCCAGTTTAAACGGTTAGCATTTTCTCCTACTGTGACACCCCAAAATAAAACTTCACAAATAAATGCAACCTCTGTACAGCATGACCTCTAAGTAACAAAACAAAATCCTAAACTCCTAAATGGTGTTGCTTAGCAAAGATTGTACTGTATTTCCATACCTTCTTGTCCATTCTCAGCAGCACAATGAGCAGGTGTTGTTCCATCTTTCATTGGTAAATTAACATCAGCTTCCAAATCTACAATCAGTTTACGTAACGCTTCAACGTTTCCCATAGCAGCATATCTGTCCACACAAAAAGTATGCATGTCATTTTTGTTTTCTCAGTACAAACTCCTGCAATATATCTTATATAGAAGTTTAGCACTTTGGTAAAGAAAATTCAGGGATTTTTTTGGGCTTATTTTATAGTCGTTATTGGGTCATATTCCCAATTGAAAATAGTATACTGTATGTGTAGCAATATTCGCGGGCTTCAAATTTTCGCGATCTTCGCGGTGACATTCGATCCGCGAATTCATGTTTAGCGCGAATATTTCTACACCAATAGTCATATTTTCGCGCTTCTATAGAATAATAATATCTGTTCATATTTTGCGGTTCGGAAATAGGAATATTCGTCCCGAAAGGTGACCCGCCCTTGGGCGGTAACGAGGCTTGCCGATTTAGGCTCATGGGCGGGTCACCGAAGGGGACGGATATTCCGAATCCGAACCGCAAACAATATTGTCAGATTTTTTTCTTGCATATTCTATTATAATTTTTAAATTCTTTAAATCTTATTTTTTCAATGAAAAAATTTATATCATTACAACCGTAACTACTTTCTTACAACAGCGTATTAAATTACAACTAACATTCATAACGGTAAAATGCGTCATCCTAAGCGTGCCATTGTAACAGCACCGACCATTCCTGGAACCCCCCAATGGCCAGATGAAATTTCCCCGGCATAGGGTAAAACTCACGGAAACGCCAAATACTGAATATGCAAGAACAATGTGTCAGAGTGTGATATGCTTTTCACACTTATTATTTAAATTTTTACTGAGTAATTGTGTTTTTGTTTCTAAGTTATTCATTATTTAAAATCGTTTATGTTTGTTGGGTTTTTTTTTTTGTATTGTTATTTTAGAAAAACGCCAAAAACAGATCCTGATCAGATGCCGTTTATAACGCAAACTGTGAAAAATTTGCACGTTTACAGGCAATTCTTTTGTTTGCTAAAATTTATTCGCTAGGACCACTGTCCTTTTTCTTTACACATAGCGTATTAATTGACACGATGGTATTGCAAAATAAAATGTGAAATCCCACGATAATAACACAGTTATTTTCTCTAATTTTTAAACCTGAGTGGTCACTAAGCGATTCAATGATTTTCCGGCAGTCAGACCCTCCGCGAAATTCAAAAATAAGCGGCGAAAATTTGTATAGAGACCCCCAAAGTGGACCTTTCCGCGAAAATTTGCTTCCGCGAATTTAAATACACATACAGTATTATTTTCCCAATCCACAGGAAAAAATTCCCAAAAGAAAGTTACAAAATAGAAATATTGAATAAAAGTTCTAAAATCTTTGCAAATAAGGGCTTTCTCACTGTATTAGTGCTTAAATCTTTGAAGATGCCATCATAGACAGTAATTGTTTGCAACCATTTAATCACTGCAAAATTTTAGTCATGCATTTTTTCCAAAAAATTAACAAAACACCACTGAAATTCCCAATTCCATGGTTATGTGTCCTGTTCCCTTAATCCTTTAAAAAAATCCCTGGAAATTATGTAATAAATTGAGGAATCAAAGCAATTGACAACTGTGGAAACTTAAATGTTAAATTGGATAATATATTGAGGCCATTCATGTGATTTGTAAATGAACTATGCCTAAAACAGGAAAAACCAATATGGCATCTAAAAATATGGTCATTATTAAATGAATGCATAATACAAGTTACAATTTTTAGCTATCAATGTTCAATACTATGTGTTTGTACCAAAAAATACTGTTTGTATGCAATTGGAAGGAAAAGATAAAACATATTTCAAACCTATGTATTGGAGAAGATGGTACATCTTTTGTTTGAGAAGGTGTTTTTGAAGGCAAGGTAGAAGCCGTCATAACATCAGTGAATTGTGCGCTGTCCAGTGATCTCCTTCCAGCATTACTAGATGATAATGATGCTTTTACATTAGCAAACTGCATGGTATCTAAGGATCTCCTTCCAGCATTAACTTCTTCTGTTGCTATTGGTAACGAAGAAGTTCTGGACTGTGATGCAGATGTAACTGTGACATTTGTTAATCGTACTGGCAGCTTAGAGGCTTGTGAAACAGATCTATAATTTGATGATGCTATTGATGGATTAGGTATCTTTGACGATGTCATGGGACTGTTATCTGAGGTTACTGTTAAATTTGATGAAGAAATTGGAAATGTTAATGGTGATGTCAAAGAAGTTGCTGCAGAAGAAACTGATGAGGAAGTTGAAAAAGTTTGTTGCTTTGAGCTGGAAGATTCTGAAGGTGCATAAGACACTTTAACTTGTGGTGTCATCAATGATGTCATTGGAGAAGTTATTGATGATGTCGTTTGTGATGTCATAGTTGAAGTCATCAATGATTCTATTGTAGAACTTGTTGATGATGTCATATGAGATGCCATTGTTGAAGTCATCGATGATGTCATATTTGAAGTTGTTGGTGATGTCAAACTTGAATGCATCGATGATGTCATTGGTGAAGCCATTGATGATGTCATTAGTGAAATTATTGATGTCATAGGTGTCTCTTCAGAAGATGAAACATAAGGTTTTGATGATGTTGATGATGATGACAATAATATTGCAGATGATGACTGAACTTCACTAATCACTCCAGGCGAATCTGAAGGTACTGAAAGAAAAAAATCAAAGGTATACTTATGATTACGTGTAAATCAAGACATTATATATATTTTAAATAATATATATATATATATTAATATTTAATTACGCACAAGTACATTGATGTCACTAAAATATACATCATTATAAATGACAATCTTTTTAAAAGATTTTATAAATAAATATATGTTACAATTAAAAAAATCAATCTACAGTCATTTATAAACAATAAATTTATCAGCCTTTTTACAACATACATTTTTATCATCCTTTCATATCCATGCTATATATATGTTCATCTTCATATTATTTACATTCATTTTTATATGTTCACAATACATTGTATAGCATATTTCTAAGGTCATGCAAATTCTAAAGTCATAAAGGGAGAAAAATGCTTTTAAATGTCAACATATTATGTGTTCTCGTTTAAAACATGATAATAACCATTTTTCCTTATCTCAGATTCAAAGCTTTTAAGTCTTTGCCTTAATTAATATATTACTGCATGAAAAAATTTCTTTTTCTGGTTTTCAAACCATAACTAAGATTTTTATTTTTTTTTTTTGCAAATAACCTTTTCCAATTTCATTTTATATAAAAGAGTCTTTTCGTGTCTTTTTGTTAAACCATCAGCAAAGAGTACAGAACTAGACCAATTTGACTCTACTTTAAACTGATAGCTGCTTAATTCACTAAACAATCAGCAGTTCCAAAGTCAAAGCTAGTCATTTAAATTTCACAAATTTAGCAAAGATTTAATTTAAAATATTATGGAAGTAAACAATATTTTTTCTGTAAAACACTGACATTTCTTTTATGCAGAAAGGAACATCAGAAACAGTGACCTTTCTGCACCAGCAACAAAGAAGATATGGTTCAGAAATGTGGGGTTCTGAGACAAAAAAGGTTAATGCTATCAAGTATATTACTCTATACAAAGCTCTCTTCTTTCTGAAAACATCTTGGCCATTTGATTGCTTTAAAACTTATGTTTTCATTTTCTTGAACAAACAATTGTGAGAATTCAACATTTTTTAACTGTTTGTTCAAAACAATTTGAAATTAAAACATTTTAATGTAATTGTTTATGAAGGAGATCTATGAAATATAATTCCTACTGTACTATCTCTAGTATGTGAATCATCTAAATGCTAATCTGTAAAAATAATGCATGAATGTACTGTGAAACCATTCTGATTCCTCTTGGAAAGTAACAAAATTCTCGTTTGTAAAAATCACAAATTCATGTACTAAAACCCTTTTTTCTTACATTTTATTTTTTTGCTTTCTGTTTTTGAATATGAAACTTTTAATATTCAATTTTATGGTCAAAACTTTTCAGCCTATGGCTGTTACTGAGGCAGGGTTTTCATATCTATCTGAGCCTACAGATGTGCCAATGAGAACAATCAATTTGAACAAGGGTCAAGGGGATATTTTAATCTACAAACTGAAAATACAACCAATTTTAACATAATTTCAACCATTGAAATGGATCGCCAATCTGTTAATAATGAAAACCCTGAGGTAGTTGGTATTAATGCAATGATTTCACAGTATCTTATCAAAGTAATATAACAAGATGCAATGCTCCATGCAAGCGGTCATTTCCATACATATCCTAATATCATCTTAACATATCATGTAACAATAATCTCATCAAACACTTTAAATACTAACAACAATACAAAGCTTGAACAAAATAAATGTTAACGTCTTCAATTGTATGAGGAATACTGAAAAGCAGATCCATGGTTCATTGGCATTTAACTAGTTTATTTCACGGTTCATTGATATAACTATTTTACCTCAGGAACTTGAGTCATTAATTTGTTGCACTAAGGACTAATGTACTTATAATAACCCTTTGATTAATGGCAGTCATTATTATGGGAATGTCAATTCTACCATTACAATACAGTGCCAACATTGTACATCCCTGCAGTTTGATCAAGATACACTTGGCTATTCAATTGTTTATACTTTAACATTTACCCTACTCAAACTGAAAGTAATTAGCCTGTGCCATCATTAAATATATAGAGTCAGGCTGGCCTGAATACTGTATGTGTATTTAAATTCGCGGAAGCAAATTTTCGCGGAAAGGTCCACTTTGGGGGTCTATACAAATATTCGCGCTATTTTGAATTCGCGGAGGTGACTGCCGAAAATCATAAATTCGCGTTGACCACTCAGGTTAAAAAATAAGGAAAATTACTGTGATCATCACGGGAGTTCACAGTTATTTTCAATACCAGGTGTCAAACAATACGCTATTGTACAAAAAAAAAAGACATTGTCTAGCGGACAGATTATAGCAAAACAAAAGAATGCCCGTTAACTTGCATAATTTTTCACAGTTTGCGTCATAAACGTCTTGACATCTGATCAGATCATGTTTTGTTTTTTTCTGAACAAACGATACAAAAAAAACACAAACATAAACGATTTTAAATGATAAATAACTTAGAAAACAAACACAATTACTCAGTAAACATTTAAATAAAAAGTGTGAAAGCATATCACACACTGATATACATTGTTCTATAGAAGCGCGAAAATATGACTATTAAGAAATTATTGGTGTAGAAATATTCGCGCTAAACATGAATTCGCGGATCGAATGTCACCGCGAAGATCGCGAAAATTTGAAGCCCGCGAATATTTCTACACATACAGTATCCATGCAGTCTGACCAGGCTTTATACTGCTGCCTGACAAATTTAGAAAATTTTCATATTGATATCCCTTTAAAGCAGCACGCCTGCAGATTCATCCTAATTTTCATGAAAATTTTGAAAATGTATTTAAAGGTAAAATACTGTGAAATGAACAAAGAAAGTACTTGACACATTACAATAGGCACATAAAATCAACGTAAATTACCAAAAAAAGGTCAAAATAGCATAGCAAAATGCATAAATAGCCCCTACTGCGTTAGTAACGCAGTAGAAATATGGTGATAAATACTACAAATCACAGTCATTAATTGCACATAACATATGAAATATAACTTGAATCTTTAATTTGTTTACTTTTTTCAAAGTTTTAGTATGGTTTTTCAAAGTTTAATTTTCTTGAAATATTTTGGGTCATCTGGAGGCATGCAGCTTTAAACAATAATGTACAGTTCCAAAATGGAAGCAGGTCAAGTCCATTTAAGAAAAATTCAGCAGTATCAGGGTTAAAACAAATGATACAAGGTCCGTTATCAGTTATTTTGATAAAATTTTCAGTTTGTGACTGAATAAAATATACATACATTTATATAAAACATGCTGCTGCTTTTCAGAATTCCTACATACAAAATGTTAATAGAATAAGTCAGTAAAGTAAAGCGGGATAAATTTGGGGATAAATCAAACACAAGGCTCTGTTATAAAATTTAATGCACTCATGCTAAGCCCTTTATGAAGAAAACTGGGAAATTTTTGTTGTAAATTATAATTTTGACTGTTTGTTTTTAATGTTTATATCTTTTATAAAATATATTAAATTTAGGTTGCCGTGTTTACCTTTTTAACCATTTTTTAGTCACTAGGTTTTAAGTATTAGTAATTTCAATGTATTCTGTGACTTTATAACTAAGAATAACAGTCAAAGGAAGTATTTGAGAACAAATCAATTTTACAGAACTAGTCAATCACTAATAAATTTATGTAGGTTACTGGTACAACATAAAGTTATCTTTGCCACCCATTTTCTTTTCTTTTATAAACTGCATGTTTTCATCAATATCTACACTGCATATAAGGCTATTTCAATGAATAAATGTAGAAATTTTACAATTTCATAAATTTCCCAGTTTCCTTAAAACACAACTTCTTGTGACAAGTGATTCTTTTTCTCTCCTCCATTTTAAAAGAAAAAAGAAAGGAATTTGCTACCTTTGTATCCTAAAAATTTCAAAAGAAGCCAAAAAAAACATTATTTTGTTTTAGAAACAAGTCTACAATTAATATTAGATTTTTTTTTTTTTTTACTAACTACAAACCAAAATGGCCTTGACTTGAGCTTAGAGATAATTAGAGACATCCGTGTTAAATATTCTGCAGCAAATTTAATTATCAAATTTCAAAAAAATATATTTTCTAATGATATACATGTATAAGTAGATACAATTACTTAAAGGCCATATTTAGGCAGATAACACATGTCACAGAGAAAGTACACAATACAAGGGCAGTAACTGCTTTAAACTGGTGTTACAATTCAACATTAGTAGTTTACCTTTACTCCCAGTTTACTTTAATTAAATTTCAATTAACATTGTTAATGTTATAATTTGTACACATTTTAAAATAGTGTTATTTTATTTGCTATTTGTTATTGTTTAACTATGTTATAAGAGTTAAGTACAGTACCAATCATTTGGGTTTTTTCTATAGCAAATGGTAAAAAAATATGTTGCTTATTTCTTTAAACCCGATTATTTTCAATTAATAAAATTTCAATTCTAAGAATATTTTTTCAACAGAAATTGCAGTAGTTATTCTGTTCTGCAAAGAATTTAATAAATACAAATACATGATACTTCATATCTACAGTTAAAGACGTTTTCGGGAGTTTTCATATAGACATAAACTGTTCAACAGAATTTCTTTAAACTTGGCATGGTGTTAGAATATGATAACAGAAACATTTTAAGCGAAAAACAAATTGGGGTCACCGTTCTCGTTTTTGAGTTATCTGCCCTTGAATTGGACTTTTTTTGTTAAATTCAAGGGCAGATAATTTATAATTATAAAACAATACATTTCTTTTTTCTTATTTTCATGAAGCTTATTTTCGTGTTAGTTGATATACAAAATTTCAAGAACAAATTTAGAGTGGGTAGTTTTTATTCCCACTTCTTCTTTTAACCTGTGCATTTTTTCTTAAAAAATGGCCTATTTTTTAAGAATTTAAAGTACCTTTATTTTCATTTAAAAGAATTAACAGAAACGATGTAAGGAATTGCATGTTATTATGTATTGTACTAAACAATGAAAAGAAAAACATAATCCAGAAGTAAAAACAAGAATTCATTTAAGTATGTATATTTATTAAGTTATCTGCCCTTGAAATGATATCAAATAAGTAGAAAAGTCTGATTCAGGGGCAGATAACTCATAAACGAGAACGGTAACCACAATTTTTTTTTCGCTTAAAATGTTTTTGTTATCATATTCTAACAACATGCCAAGTTTAAAGAAATTCTATTGAACAGTTTTAATTTTGCCTATATATCTATATGAAAACTCCCGAAAACGTCCTTAAAGTAACTCAAAATAAGGTAAATATCTTACTAAATGGGTATAGGATATTCCCGAATATAAATTTATAATAAAAGGGTGAATTATTTAATACAAATATTATATTTTTATGATTATAACAACTAACCCATTCTACTAGTAAAACAATTCAAAGGAGGAAAGCAGATTATAATGTAAATAAAGGTCATCCTTCAATATAGACTTATTTTAAACATGTCTAGAAAAGTGTTATTAAGTCTGTGGTGATTTTAAACCTTACACCTCTAATTATCTTAAATGGACTAGTCTATCTTTCAGCCTGGACAAATCCATTCATAATTGTTTTGGAAATATTTCAAAGTATTACAATGTAATAACTAAATAGTGAACAGTGCAGACCATAATCAGACAGTGCAGATCACAGTCTGTACTGGTCACATGGGTAAATTCAGTCACCAGATCTTGGTCTGCACTGGTCACATGGGTAGACTCAGTCACCGGAGATCTCAGTTTGCGAAGATCACATGGGTAAATTCAGTCACCAGATCTTGGTCAGCACTGGTCACATGGGTAGACTCAGTCACCTGAGATCTCGGTTTGCGAAGATCACATGGGTAAATTCAGTCACCAGATCTTGGTCTGCACTGGTCACATGGGTAGACTCAGTCACCTGAGATCTCGGTTTGCGAAGATCACATGGGTAAATTCAGTCACCAGATCTTGGTCTGCACTGGTCACATGGGTAGACTCAGTCACCTGAGATCTCGGTTTGCGAAGATCACATGGGTAAATTCAGTCACCAGATCTTGGTCTGCACTGGTCACATGGGTAGACTCAGTCACCTGAGATCTTGGTTTGCGAAGATCACATGGGTAAATTCAGTCACCAGATCTGAATCTGCACTGGTCACATGGGTAGACTCAGTCACCTGAGATCTCGGTTTGCAATTATTGCATGGGTCAATTCAGTCACCAGATCTTGATGGCACTATTCGCTTATGCACAAGCAGGCTAAGAGTTAGTAACACTTCTCGGACATGTTGAATTTAAGTCTACATGTAATGACAATGACTGTAAAAAAAATTTTTATCAAAAGATATTTTATGAGTAGAAAAACACTGAGAAACAGCAAAATCCCAATTTTACCAGCCACTTTTATATAAAACATGTATAATAATAGGAAAGTAATATTAAATGATTGTATTTCATTGAAAAGCAGGAAGGTTATGTGTGATAAAAGTATAATTATAGTCCTAAAATATTTTCAACTAAAGAAGTTTTTATATAATATATAAGAGGAAAATGTATTAACTATCATTTTGAAAAGGGATGGTATTACCTGTTACCATAGAAACTAAAAGTTGCTGAAGGTCAGCCATCTCTTCACCAAGAAAATCAAACGAGTCAGAGGTGGGCGGGGTTTGACTGGCACCATGTGAAATGTATGGGATGGGGTCATCAGCAAGGTTAAGGTCAGGGTCATCAGTAAACTGAAAACAACAAGGCATGCAACAACATCAAAACACATGCGGTTAGGTTAACTAAACAGAACATAAGGGTAATGAGCTGTAAAACTTAAACTGATGCAAAATAAATAAGTCCATCTTATTTCACTGAGCAAAACAACTTAGAATTATACTTATTATACTGAGTTATCTTCTTTATATAATGTCCTAGAACTACACTGAATACATCTACAATGTCTAGAGGCATTAAAAATGGTTACATTATTTAGTATTTATGTCTATGTAACTGTTTACTAAAGCTTGATAATCCCTCTATGGTAAACAAATTCTAAACTTGAGACCATTTGCTTATAGTTAACATACTCTATATGACTTATTTTAGTGTTTTGATGTTGCATGTTTGTGTGACTAAGAAGTCATAATGAGAATATAGAAATATGAGGTAAGAGAACATACTTTTCACAATTAATCCCCTACTACTACTGTATGGTAATAATGAAAATATTTATTAATGAAAAAAAAAAAAAGGTTTATGACACCAATTTAATGTATAAATGATCTATTTGCATACACTAGCCGATTTAATAAGTTGGCTGTGTCATCAGTATAGAACCAGGCCAGCCTGCACATCTGTGTATTATGTACAATGACAATGCGCATCCATGTGGTCAGACCACGCCAGCCGGCAAATCTATGTGGTCTAACCTAATCAGCCTGCACATTCATGTGGTCCAACTAGGCCAGCATGATCAGGCTCTATACTGCCGATTTTCAATTTATAAACCTAATACATTGTATTTTGCTGTAAGATTTTATGATGTATAATGTCTTATGACAAAATAACGAAATGAAAAATACAATAAGAAGTAAGCTAAAACAATCATGAAACCTGATGGGCACTTCTTTGTTTTTAGACAAAACACTAATCTTTGCATACAAAAATTGTTTAAACTTTCTCATTCTAGTGCATTACCTTAGACTTTTATCGTCTAAACAACCTTTTAAGCTTGAAATAAAAGTCAAAAGAGCAGTCTTATTAATATTTAGAAAATCAAATTAAAGCCGGGGCAAAAATTATATGTCCTGTAAACTCGTCCACATAAATATGTTGTAAGGCATTTGTTTCGTCTTTTCAAAAATGACAATGTTATGAACTGTACATGCAATTAGTACAATAAGAAGACAATATTATTAGCCTTACCCTGCTGAATTTGTATACTGGATAAATCTATTTTATATATGGGAACAGTCCATTGTTCATGCAAGGGATTCCAATATAAAAATGCCAAAATAAAGCAGCTTTGTGTCAGACTGACTTGATGTTATGTACAGACTGGTCTTAATGTGTCGGACTGAATTTATGTTATGTACAGACTGGTCTTAATTAATGTGTATAATGGCTGCACAATATCTTCCCTAGTATTCTGTTTATAACAAAATGTTTGAATAAATGATTCTTGCAGTTTGACTATGCTTTATACATGTACAGTTATTAAATTTAACCTTCAGCCTGCTGGCAGCAATCAAATCTACCTATTCTGCACTGGTCGCTATTCAGTCAGTACATATTTTGACATTTTTCCTAAAAATGATGACTCATAATTGAAAGTCCATTGCACAAATTCAAAAAGATAAGGGGTAAAAGCTACAAGTTCACATATCTTAGACCACAAATTTTCTCCAAATTTTTATAAATATATATTAGTCTGAGCCCTTCTTACAGAATCTAATAAAGGTTAAATATAATGCCAGAAAATTCGTCATTATTAAACCTACTCTTCCTGTTATATCCTAGAATCTTACACACAGTCACTGCTTTTATCCTTAAATAACTCTTCATAGACAAAACTAAATAAACATATTGAAAAGATTGCATTGTGAACAGTTAGTTTTAGAGCTCCTTTTATAGTATGTAACATGCACAAATTGGCTTTTATTTCAACAGTTAATCTTGTCTAGAAAAGTCAAAATGCATAGTAATGCAACTAAAAGGCTCACACTTTGCCATGAGGAAAGATGCACAGTGAGTGTGGTGTTAGAAAATTAAAATTGTAAGTGACAAACTTATATTACAAAAAAAGGTTATAATATAAATCAAAACTTTCACCCCTCCAGCTATTGAATAAATCATTCCACTCAAAATCATAGATTTGTCCATTATAAAAGCATAGGGGTGAAAGAGATGAACCATGCAGCTAAAAGAACATAAAATCACTATGACAACAATATTATTTAAACTCACCCATGGTTTAGATGATGATAAAATGATGTCTACAATGAAGAGTTGTCTCCCTTTTTCTCACTTAACTTTGAAATAAATAAAGCTGACAAAAATTTACTTTTCTGGACTTGAAGAATGTTCAAAATATTCCCGGGACATTTTTTCATTTCTTTTAACATCTCACACATGTTCACAGTTTCTTACATGTACCAGTCACACATTATATGTATATTCTCTTTAGAAGCTACTTCAGTACAGGTAATGGGATTAATATCGAAATGAAGAAAGAAAATGATTACATTCAAACTGTCAATCAGGAAGTTTGACATCAATGCAAGCGAACAAGGCCATCATGTTGGAGGTCACTGTAAACTGGTTGTATCTAAAGACAGGTAGTTTGAACAAAAGGAATGGAACAGGTTTCACATAATAATATCGTCTCTCTTGGAAAATGTTCTTGTTTTTTTTTAAGTAATAGTATGTTTTATTGTTAACTTAAAAAATTAATAATACTAGGCTATCTGCAGGAGTTGTTATAAAGCCATTTAATAAAAACGATACTACACTGAAAAATTACTCTTTTTAACAGTTTACTGTTCTTATTTTAGGTATGTGATAAATAGAATATTATATTCGTGTAGATTCAATACTAAATTTATTGAACGAGTTGAATAAAACAATATTATGCTTGCCAGAGGCTCACATAATATGATTTTATTAAACTCGTTCAATAAATTCAGTATTAAACCTACACTCATTCAATATCCTCTATGTAGAGAATTGTATCAAAAGAGTGGTATTAATTGTTATGCAGAATTGTATCAATGGTTTGACATTATATGGAACAGTTGAAATCCTGACCTTGCTTATTTCCATTCCTGATTTTGTTCTATTCTTTTCCATACAAAATAAAGTTCCAATTTTAATTTCTCATTCTAATTTCAGAAATACATTTTTCAATCCCTAATTATTAAACATGTATTTATGTATCTTGTACATCCTACCTATACCCTACCGGATCAAGTAAATATGAAAACTTAATATCATTTTTACCCTAGGCAGTAATGGCAACATTCTATGTGGAATGTTGTGCACCCATAACCCATTTATCTCATGTTATAACACAAAAAAAAATCTTTATACAAAATGTATGATCAAAATATCAATTATCAGCAAAAAGCTGCAACACTATCACTGTAATATGGACTTTCCCTTGTTTTATTTTGGAACCATTCACAACATTTTAATCCTTAACATACTGAAATAAATAAATAGACTTGTCCACTTTACATTTTTGGAACAGTCCAGGAGATAATTTGGATGAAGTCAAGACAAAAAATTGTAGTTAAGTCAATCAACAGTAAAGATTATGAGTATTGTGATTGGGATAATAAGTCAATGTAATGGTCACAGCTGTAGGAGGAACTTCTGTGACTCCAGGAATTAAGTTGATTAACTTGACACAGGAGTAGAACCACAGACCTTCTTTTAAGATAGCCAGAAACTTTTTATTACATAGTTCAGGGTTCACTTATTTCCACGACAAATACAAACTAATAGTATCATCTTTATAAGCAACACATGTAAACGTGAACAAGTGTGAGATGGGATATTGGTGTAATGATTATGACAAAAAGATACAAACTGGTACACATGTGAAGGCTACACAAATGTTTTATTTGCATGTTTCTTTCTTTTTTTTGTATGATCTTAAAAATAATTATACAATGTATTGCATCATTGCCCAATTACAGAGTGATAAGACTAGCATATATTACGAATCCTTTCATTAAAGATATTCTGTTAAAAATGCATGCATTACATAAAAACAACTAAGTTTTACATGATATAAACAAAAACACAACTTTAAAAATAGTTCACAAAACCATTATTGTTGGTGTATCACTTAAAAAAAAATTTACATATAAAAAATTTTGGCATCTGATCATTTGAAAAAAATATTAAAGAAATCTATATAAAAAAAAATACTAAAAATAAAAACACAATCATTGCTGGATTTGATATGAAACATATCTATGTGCATTTTTTCAAACGTATTTATCTATTGTACAACCTGTTTTATTCAAAACAACCAAAAATGTTTAAAATTCAATAAAAACACATATATATTACATGTTTATATATTATGTAAACTAAGTAAGTATAAATTTTTGTTACTTATAAAGCAACAAATTATGTAAAGTCCATTAATCCATGTAAATTTGATTAATTGTCCATTTACAAATATATATTTTAAGATATTTTGGATAAAATCACTATGTAAGGCAAATAAAAGCAAAAAGCTGCACACATTTTTAAGAGTCTTTATCTTAAATTTGGATTTCTTCATAAAAACAAAAAGTTGATTTAACATCAACTCTTGACACTATCTGAACTGTCAATAATATCTCATATATAGAAAATCACTTGATATACAAAAAGTTTACTGTGTTAAAAAGTAATCTATTTGCTGGAGCTATCTATCTGCCTCAGTGACCAAATGATATAAAGCTTGTATTATCAAGTCATATGTCATCATTTGATACCCTACTCCTAGAAATATGTATTGTCACATGGTACCAACAAATGGTGTTTTAATTTGATATCAAAATATCATGTCTCATTACTTTTACACTGAACAATTTCATGATTTTACCTATGGTAAGATTATTTGATATCAATAACGTGACATCTGTAATCACTGGATATTAATCTTTGGTGTTATTGATCTTCTACGGTATGTATGTCCTGTGTGATCCCATGATATCAATAAATAGACATCTGTAATCACTGGATATTAATATTTGGTGTTATTGATATACTTCTGTATATATGTCCTGTGTGATCCCATGATATCAATAAATAGACATCTGTAATCACTGGATATTAATATTTGGTGTTATTGATATACTTCTGTATTTATGTCCTGTGTGATCCCATGATATCAATAAATAGACATCTGTAATCACTGGATATTAATATTTGGTGTTATTGATATACTTCTGTATTTATGTCCTGTGTGATCCCATGATATCAATAAATAGACATCTGTAATCACTGGATATTAATATTTGGTGTTATTGATATACTTCTGTATATATGTCCTGTGTGATCCCATGATATCAATAGACATCTGTAATCACTGGATATTAATATTTGGTGTTATTGATATACTTCTGTATATATGTCCTGTGTGATCCCATGATATCAATAAATAGACATCTGTAATCACTGGATATTAATATTTGGTGTTATTGATATACTTCTGTATTTATGTCCTGTGTGATCCCATGATATCAATAAATAGACATCTGTAATCACTGGATATTAATATTTGGTGTTATTGATATACTTCTGTATATATGTCCTGTGTGATCCCATGATATCAATAAATAGACATCTGTAATCACTGGATATTAATATTTGGTGTTATTGATATACTTCTGTATATATGTCCTGTGTGATCCCATGATATCAATAGACATCTGTAATCACTGGATATTAATATTTGGTGTTATCGATATACTTCTGTATGTCCTGTGTGATTATTTGATATATCAATAATGTAGCATCTGTAATCACTGAATATTATTCTTTGGTGTTATTGATATACCATTTATGTCCTGGGTGATTATTTGATATCAATAATGTATTATAATGTAACATCTGTAATCACTTGTCTTTGGTGTTATTGATATACAATGTAATGGTCATGTGTGATCACTTGATATCAATAATGACTTGCATGATCACTAGATATCACACAAAGAATAAAATAGTGATGGCTTATTATTAAATACAGTATGTGTGATCATTTGGTTTCACACATATGCATAGAAATCAATGATAAGTTAGCAAAGTTAAAAATTTAAGATGTGATCACTTGATATCAAACATGTGTTATCAAGCAATATCTTACATTTGATCATGTGATATCAAACCTTATTCTTAGTTAATCAATGAATATTTGAATAAGTATGCCATAGCATAGAAATAATTGGTCACTGCTTGGCATCAAAACATGCAAAAGCTGTTCATATAAATTAAACATGTACTTCTGTGTGACCATTTATATTAAAGGAGTGATGACTTATCACTGGATACCAAAAATGGCATCTGTGATTTCTTTGTATTTGAAAATGACACGCCTGGTCACTTGATAACAAACATGCAATACAATTTATTCATATATCGATGTAGGAGACTCAGCAAAAGGCATACTTAAATGTACAATATGTAAGTTCCTGGATTGACTTTAAACATTTAAACAATAATTACTAATACTATAATAATCATGATGAGTAAATGACTCCCCATGTAAGTTCAATGTCCATAGATTCAACACCTAACTGTTAAACAGCAAATATTTAGTCATATGGTCATTCTGAATCATATCAAAGTTCAAGGTTGTTTGTTAAAAGGTCAAATCAAGGGTTTATTGCAACATAACTAAATGTGTCAATACTGTATGTTGCAATGAACTCTCAAAATGGTGACAATAAAATAATGTGTCCTTGACATTCAAGGTCAAATGTCAAGGTCTTTTATCAAGTGAGTAGGTGCAACCAATGGCCAATGATCTTGATCAGTGCTTTTTTGTGTTCGAAGTTTATGTAAGAAAAGCTTTAATTCTTTTCATATGCAATGAACCTACAATGTAGTTTTGATCTAACACTACTAAAGCTGTAAGTGTATGTCACTGTCTAATGTGATGGAATCTATCTAGTTACCCTGGAAGCTTGTACAGACATAATCATGATGTAAGTTAAGAAGCCTGACACATCAATATAATGTTAATAATAGACTATACACAAGATTTACATCAATATCACTGTTGTAAATCTCCTCGAGGAAACTCATTACTAAATCAATGTTATATAATAAAATCAAAGTTCTAAAATGACTTGTTGACAAAATTGCTGTGAAATATGAAATATATCTCATTTTACGTAGACATGTTCAGACACAGGGGATTTCCTAATATGACATAAAATGGCAATAATCTTCTCTTTTTTAAGCAAGCTTTGATAAATAATGTGGCATCTACAACTATGACATTTTTTTTGCAAACTAAATTACATGTGTGAACAATACTAAACCTAAACAGCTACATAAATAGAATTACGAATAAACAAATGAACATCAACTAAATGTGTAGACATGTGGGAAGAACTTGAATGAATTATATCCTTTCATTTAGCATTAACACAAACCTGCGCAGGTTTACGTAGGGTAGATGGAGATTCTTCACGCTTTGGTGTTCGACTCCCTGGCGATGATGTGACAGTTGATGTATGAACAACACTAACTGGTATATGAACTGGTTTTGAGGCTGGTGCTCTCCCATCCTTTGAAACTAAAGTTGCAGTCTTTTGTGACATAACGGTTTTGTTTGCGGTAGTGGTTGTAGGTAACACAGGTTTGTTTGGTGGTATCGGAGGAGGGGTGCCACGTCCAACACTCGTAGCTCGCCTTGGTGACAACTGACCGGAAGTTGGTGTGATGTTACCAGTCTGAACAGTAATTCGTCCGCCACTGCTTACGACAGCTGGTCCACCAACATTTAACTTCTGGACGCCGTGTGTATCCAACAATAATTTATTTTCTGAAACGGCACCTACTGGAGCTACACGCTGTTCTATATTGTCTGTGTAGTGGATATGCCCTCTGTCTACAGACATTGCAGGAGGACTTGCATACCTAATATTATCACGTTTACGAACATTTAATTCTGAAGAACTAGTTCTAGGTGAAAGACCAGCTTCCCTTTCTACTATACCAGTACCACCTTTCCCTGTGACTGTCACTGCAGGCCATGTTCTCTCACTAGATAACCTATTCTGTGGAGCAGATACATTAGATTTAATCTCAACACTATGCACAGCTTCTTTTTGCTGATACTTCCCAGGTAATTGCTTTTGCAAATTTTCTAATTGCCATGTTAATGAATCAATTTGAACTTGAAAATCTTTATTACGATTCTCTTCACGCTGTAACTTATTCTTTAATTGTTCTCGTTCTAAATCAAATTCGCTCGCTTGACGTTCCATCGTAGCTTCCATTTTTAATGATTTTTTACTTTCCTGTACAAGACCCTCTGCCATGTTCATGGATTTATTTCTTTCTTCCTGCAGAATTCTCTCAGCTTGATCAGCACGAAACTTTTCCTGCATTAGTTTCTCTACAAGTTTTTTACGCTCTTTTATAAGCATGAGGGCAACTTGTTTATGTTTAGCTGAACTTGCTCTTTCATCCTCTAGACTTGCTAATGTTTTCTTCATATCCTTTTCCATTTTCTTTTGATTTGCCTTTTCAAAGTCAATCTGAAAAACAGTCGTACACAGCTATTATCAGTCATCATACAACCTGCAATACAAAATCTGAGCAGATATAATCATTAACAAAGTGCCCCCAAGACCAAACCATTCATACAATGCAAATGTAAGTATAACTAAGAAAGGTCATTGTCATACAGAGGTCAAGGTCATATTTCAATATATGACAAGAACTGTCAGCAGGACAAGCATTTGAAGACTCTTCCTTAATGATATATCTTTTTGATAATGTCTGATTTTAATTTGCCTTAAAGACTAAATGATATTGTCAAAAGGAAATGAAAATTTATAAAAAAAATTTAATTCTTTTTTTTAAGGTCTAATACAGTACTAATGACCAGCTGTACAAAACCATTTACCATATATTTTCACATTGGAAAATGATATTCTAGAAAGAAACATGATATGGTATAACAAATAACCACAAATACTGAACAATGGAAGTATACAAGCATTGTCACATATTTTTTGTTTTACACTTAGATCTACAATGTAATAGAATTGTATGTATGACTTCTAATGTAATGGCATTTTCTGTTATCTACTTTTTTTTAAAGTCATTTTTTATGCAAATTTTCAGCTAAACCATTACAGGATGAACAAGATGCCACTCCATGTTTACTTTCAATCGATGATAGGAATAAACTTATTGTAACTGTTTAATAAGTTTTGGCAGCCACAATATAATAATATATTCTTTCATAAAAACTGTGCACAAAGGTATACATTAACAAAGAAGAAAACATGCATTAATGGATAGATTCACATGGCCACAAACCATTGTTACATTTTTTTTATTAAGCATGACTCAGGGAGCAATGTAAAATACAGCTTAATGCAATAACAGCCCCTGTCGTTATGCTATGTAAAACATAACTGCTAAGTGACACTGTCCTTGCACATGGAAAGCATGGCACAGTAAATGTTTTCTAAATATCAAATACAGATAACAAACCCTGGAATTACTGATTTATGTACTTTTATGCAAGAATAGCGCTAATGCACCCTTTTGTGAAACCCTCATAGTTAGACTGACTTGATCCCTGGGCTTTAAATGTGTCCTGGTGCTTCTGCAGATGTTTATGCACACAAAAAAGTGCATTAACCCTCTACTATATGCAATCCAAATTAAAAATTTATAATATCACTGAATTCAGCAAGCATATATAAATGGATAATTAAGTATTATTTCTAACATAAGCAATTTATTATTATTAGGACAAATGGGGAAATTTATAGGTAATTTATATATTTAAAATAAAAGCAATTTCAATTCCGGGCAATAAAATAATTATCACTTTGTAAAAATCAATTGCTCATCCACAGCTACTTTCTGACAGCCATAGCAGGCTTAACATTATCCTAGGGTTATACATAACAATATCACCTAGTGTATATATAATGAATCAGTGACAATAACTCTATTATCAACAGCTTTTTTTTTGTCTACCACTGTCATGTACTTGGTTCAATAAGGCTGCTACAATGCTGCATTCTCACATGTATTGATCTCTGGGAAGTTCTCCAAACAAAAAAAACCAGACTAATTGTCACAAAATACTCTGTTATTGTCTCCTCTACTTATATAAATAATGATTAGAGGCTATTTTTGCTGTTATGCTTACAAATTAGTAGGTTTCTTAACTGAATTATTTATGTAATTTATTTCCCTATATATCACCATATTACTCCCACGACACTTGACAGTATTCTGAAATTTGCTTCAATGTAACAATCTTTCTCTGTTGTTTAACTTGCATGGGAATTATGTAAATGCCCTTAGTAACTGACAACAAATCACGCTCTTTAATAAACATAAATTATCATTCATTAAGCTACAAAAAAAAAGACTTGGTAATTGTCAATAATGTTTGTTTGGTTGGTTGGTTTTATGCCACATCAACACAGTAATAGGACATGCCAAAAGTGTAACATGATATCCAATTTCATGTTAATCCTTTTATCATTTAAACAAGAAAATAATTTTTCTTTTTCTTCGTCTTTTTTATTCCATTATATTTTTAACAGAAATTGGAACAGAATAAATTTATTTCAACATCATAATTTCCCATCTAAATTTCAATCTGAAGTTAGACACATTGTACATTAACTTGCCCTGGGTCAATGCAGTGGTTTCATTTTTAACACCTAAACAAAGTGTACAGGGATGCCAATGTTATTTTTTAAAGGCAGACAATTTTCCTCATTTTTTTTCAACATCGGAAAAATCCCCCTCCCGTAATTTTGATTGGGATGACAATTACACACCCAAGTAGTTTTACACCTAAGTTTTCATAGAGATGTTGCTATCAAAAATCATTATTTTTCATATGTCACAAGGCTACTATCAAGTGTTGTAAAGGGAAAAAGACCAAAAATTATCCCCCTTTGCCTCCTTTCTGGTGTGAACAGACACTTTGCTGGTCAACTCTCACCATATTGTTTAAATAGTCTTCAGTTCATATGAAATTTAGACTGCTGACTAGGTCATTAAGAATTTGTGTTGAAGAAATTTCACATATTATGCAATATCTTTTATTTTAAGGACGAACCCAAGGCTTAGAATGACCCAACAAGTACAAAATGATCAATTTATATAAATTAATAAATGCAGTTCCACAGAGTTAACATCCTCCCCCTTTTTTGACATAGTAAAAGAAAACTAAATTACCAAAACAATAGCAGTTATCATAAATTCAAGAAAATTAGAACATATTTTAGTATTTTAGCACAATTAGTGCTTTGAGTACAAAAAATCCAGCAAAAAGTAACAGTATAACAATCAGCTTTTATTTTATTTTGACTATATTTCACCTTTAATTGACACCCTGCCACCAACATTTTGCAAAATGTAATGGCCCCGGAGGCGTTCATTATAGAATATACAGTCTAACTACTACCAAGAGGACAGTGCAGGTAATAGCTTACCTCTTTAGTTAATCTTTCCCTCTCTTTTTCTAGCATGTATGTGACATCATCGCCCTGAGCTGTATCTTGAGCATGTTTACGTTTTTCATCCTCCAACTCACTGTGAACCTACAACATTACAAGTTGAAATATCTTACATGAATGTCTCTGTATTACAGTGTTGCCTCATATACAAACAATGACCTGGTCAATGTCATCATTCCATTAATGTGCATGTTATTATGTTGTACAAACAAAGCTGTGGCAACTTGGTCAATGTCTCATTCAAAGAATTAATTTTTTATCTTTGTATTTTTTTTCAATACATGTATAAATAGGCATCACATATATTATCATGATTGTATTAAAATTTAATGTACAGTACGCTATTTGATTCTAATGATGCTCTACTAATGATATATTCCTACTTGATTTTTTTGATGATGGTAATAAAACAAAAAACTTGTCAAAAAAACTTTGCACTTTGAGGGAAAACGTTCCGATTTACCAACTTTAGTCACTCACATTTTCAAAAGTGTAACAATGTTATGTTGTTCTTGAAGAAAAACAAAAAACCCACAAGATTACATGTAAATTTAAAGTAAAATAACATGCAAAGAGCATAAGCACCATATACTTGATGTATCAATCAGCATCATAAATTAAAGGTGCCATCTCTTTCTCTCATTGAATACAATACAATGTAGGTAAAATCTGCAATCCAAATATACTTTATATACATGTACAAAGAAATATTCTAAACATTCAATAAACATAATAAAACAGCCAATTATTAATTTAAGTTTTCCCCACTTCTAACTCCTTTTTTATGGGGTATTTCATTTGATTTTCAAAAAGTACGAGCATTTATTTACCTTATGATATCGCTTTTCTCCAATTATCATCTGCTCTCTCATCTTCATCTGTGCCTTTCTCTGGGTAGCAATCAAGTTTTCAAGCTGAGCTAACTGGTTATCGTACATTGACTTTATTGCTGACTCATCAAACGTGTTGTCCTTCATGTTATCTGAGTCCCGCTGCATTGCTGAGAACGGATCGCCGAGTCCAAATCTACCATATTTTGCCTGGTATAAAAGCTGCTTCGCTTTTTCAGCCTAAAGTACAAAAGAGAATACGATTAACATTAAGCCAGTTCAAACCTGGGAGATTTCGCCATACATGTACCAAATTTTGTTGTAATTTAATACACCTTAACCTGCTGGTGTAAACTGTTTCTAACCACATGCCAATGATCAGCCAGTAGATCCTTGATCTAGGTTTGCATTTTTCGCTATTTGGCTTGAATCAGCTAGTAAAAGTTTTTTAAAGATCCTATAAAAATGATGTATGGTTTTGTCAAGATTTAATGGAAAAGTCTATATCAGATAATTTAGCATGGTCTTAAAGGGTTAAATATTCAGTGTTACATACATTGCTGATCAAGAATATACCATCAATTAGTCATATAAAACTTTTGTCTGGACAACGATAACATTTGCTCTACATACATCATGTATACAGATTGCAGTTTTAAATAAAAGATTTCAAGGCCATAGCATTAACACAACACACTATAGTCTTTTATTTAACATTACAAAAATTTAGATGCAATATCCCGAAAAGATGGATGATTGATGAAAACATATCTTCCAAGAATTTTCTTTTAAGGGCAGTTTTTCGAAGCATTTAAAACTTATAATAATAATACATAATAAACTGTAATACAAGTGTTTCTTGGTCCAACACTAAATTCCTTGTTTATCTTAGTATAAAATGTATCTGTAATTTGGCATTAAGGGGAGCGGTGACCTAGTGGTTAAAGTGTCTGCCTCTCAACCTAGGGATCATGGGTTCAAGCCCTACTTGGGTCACGACCATGTTTCTTCATATGACACCAGTACTGGTTGGTTCCAGGAAGCGGACTTGAAAGTGATTAATATAGGTTGCAAAAACTTGTTTCGCAATCAAGCTAAAAATAAATATGTTTCAAGCAATTTGGCATTGCAGGAAAAAATGATTTCAAACACATATATATTTGAATTTTTGACATATCAATATGTAAGACTCTTTTTGACTAACAAGTTACTGTTACATGATACTATCATATACAATATGTATATGCTCAGTCATTATTTCTAAACAATCTAAAAATCATCAATATTTATTTGTTTTTAAGTATGTTTGAAGACAAAACAATCAGTAATCCAATCTGTTGAATAAACTTACCTAAATATAATAAATATATTATAATTAATTACACAAAACTCATCTTAGACATTATACTACTTGATATTACTTGATCTAGATTTTTTTTCCAGGAAAAAAATGCACAGGTAGCACTGTTATGTGCCACACAAAGTTCAGAGGGGCATTCGTTTATTACTGATGATAAAATAGTTTATCTGTAGATTATCTCAACAGAAGTTTATAATGATAACATAAATCACAGCTGATTTATTCTCATCAACAGTTTAACCCTTAACCAACTCAACTAATCACTGTATGGTAATGTTTTCTGTCAGGCAAACAAAACAACACCCTCCTTATTGTCTATACCATACTATATGAAAAGTTGAAGGAAGAGAGAGATAGGAGAAAAAATACAATGATAATTGGAAAAAAATTAACAGTCTATGCCATCTTTTAAGTACAGGCAGTAAAAGAGATGAGCCTTAGTAACCTACATATCTAAAATATATAACAGGAAATAAAATACAATAAAAACTTCTTTTTGGAAAAAAATAATATTCAAAAGAATTTTAGTTTTACAAACTACACTGGATATGTGAAAATGTTGTGTTTTTTTAAAGATAAATCACACTTTTTAAAGTTTTTTTTTACTTTTTATGTGGGGGGGGGGGGGGGGGGAGGGGCAGGTGGTCAGTTGGGGGCTAAACAACTTTAATATATCACATTTTTTTAATCAACTATTTGTTGTCTGAACTAATTTTAGAGCTCTAATAGGGCATTTATGTCAACAACAATAAATGAGTGCTTTTTAACCATTTAATAGTTACACTAGTTAACATTCTGAAATACCAGTATAATATTATTCTTCACATACTAGGTCTCACATCTTAAAATCATTCAAGCTGTAACCATTTATATATTATCATATAAATCTATTTTGTCAAAGTTTCTGAATCCAAATAACTTACAGAGCATTTCTTTAAAATAACCCGATATAAAATTGGAAAAGCCTCAGTAAGTTTGATATATATACAGACTGTATGATATATATACAGACTGTATACCCTCAAAATGCCTTTTATTAGTGGAATATGCCACATATAATATACATCACTCTCAAAATGCTTTATATTAGTGGGATATGCCACATCATATTACATAAATTATTTTGAATAGCTCACAGATCTACATGTATATTCAATAAAAAACTGTACAAATAAAATTTTATGGAAAATTTGATTCAAATTTGGCAAATTATAGTATGTAATTAATCATTGACCACAAAGATTATGTTTAAGTTTGATTTCAAGTCAAACAGAAACTTTTTAAAAACAGTATAATAGTGAGTTCAGTATTATTACATTTAATATAAATTTCCATTATTAGATATAAGTGTATCAAACAAATCATTTCAAGGTATGTAAATCACTCTTGTCAGCAAATAGGTGTTTAAATTATGTGAGTGGGACAAGTAATCCTGTTATAAAGGCAGCAAAAGAGTTCAAAACAATTCTTTCATGTCTGTCTTCAAGAAACTGCAGACCCTCACATTTGTAGTAATGTAAATGATTACAACCCGATCCACCTTTAAACAATAACACCATAGTCTACCAAGATTGCTCACCAGAGATCCAATGCTAGAAAAAGTCGCAAGTCTTCAAGTAATTTGATCACGATGAGTGTGACATTTTTTAACCCTAATTGTATGATTTATTAACCCTTTACCTCATATATACGCGAAACAACGCACTTTCGACCCCCCCCCTCCTCTTTTAGGTCTCAAATGGTGAAAAAATGTCCTATTTGGGGCCCAAACACATGCTTTTGTTTGAGAAATGTTGGTTAAAAAAAGTGAGCACTTTTTCGGCGGCGCCCCCCATCGTAAAGATACATAAGGGGGTTGCCAGAAGGGGGATTGCCCCCTTCTGTTTCGGGGGTTTGAATCGTCGCCAAGAAAATTTTGGTCTTGTGAGAGGCTAAAAATGACCTCAGATTGATCATAAGGTAATGTGTAACCAACGCTGAAAAGCCTTTGACTCTATCTCAATCCCTTGAGCAGTTGCAGCACTTTGAAATAAATTTTGATGGAAAAAATCAAGGCAAAATAGTGATTTTTTGCAATTTTGAGATATCCCCTTGTTGCCATGGTAACAGGAAATTTAAGACTGAGCATGTCGTTACAAAGGCAATGGTCCAGTCAACATTTGTGCCAAGATTGATTAGTATTGAAGCATTTTTCATAGTTTCATAGCAGTTTTAACTTGTAACAGGAGGCTTTTCAGTGAAAACGGCCATTTTTCACAATATGCTCATGAGGGAAAGGGTTAAATACATGTATGTACTTGTACCAGTCTTACTAGTCAAAGCTACAAGTCAAATATCTAAGCTCTGGGAATTGTAATTTTGTTAAGATTTTAACGTGTTTTCAAATAAAAATTAAAAGTCTACATTAACCAATTGACCCATTGGGTGTGGCCAATTTGACTTTAGGGACATGATTTATATATCTTTTATAGATGAACACAATATAATTATTTAATGAGGCTTTATTATGCTACAACTGAAATGAATTGTAGTTTTACCAACAAGTAGATTTGAATGTGTTTTCAATAACAAGACAATACAAACTACATTTGTAAGTGGAACCGGAGGCAGGGTGCCAATTTTGACCCTGGATCAAAAATTATATTAACTTCTAAAGAGGGCCACATGTTGACACTACACGACAAATGTGACTGCTATTTGTCATTGCAGTTTTTGAGGAATAGACTGTTCAGATAAGTTTACTTTACAAGTCAACTATATGTAAGTGACACTAATTCTGGGCTTCTTTTGACTCCATGGGTAGAGGTATTTGAAGCGACGCTACAAGACTTAAACACGTTTTTAATTGCAAGTCTACAGTCATGATCTAACTTTTTATTCTAAGTGCCCCTCAGACAGAGCAAATTGACCCCTAAGGGCATAGTTCATATATAATACCTTTTATAGTGAACTTCAAGCTCATGCTAAATATCTATACTCAGAGCATTGTTGTTTCAGAGAATAGTTTTAAGATATAGTCACAATCAATAGAAGTCTTTGTGAAGTAAGTGGCCCCAGAGCTGGACTATTTAACCACAGGAGCATGATTTATATAAGAAGGTCCTCAAAGCAAATGTGTAAAGTTCAAATTTTTTTATATTTTATCTAATCTAATATTCTATATAAACTAAATGACCCCCAGGACCTAATAATGCATCAAACTGGAACCATATTCATGTAACTTCTGTAGCGGGCTGCATTTTGATAAGAATCATTCCTATAAAGTTCACCTTTGGGGACTGGATTAAGGAATATGTTGTTTTAAGAAATTGTGGACACCAAAGGGCTACCAATAATGGAAATAATGCCATCACAAAAGCTCCTCCCTGAGCACATTTGGCACTCTTTCTGAGCATTTTGTGCTCTGCCAGGTTACCTGTAAGCTAAAAATCCTTAACTGATCTATTTGATTACACAAGTAGTCACTGCAGTTACAAAACAAATTAAATCTTTAAAAATATTGTAGCGGAACTATGCACTCAAGAAGACAAGAAGTTTAACTTACCTTAAGTGTTGCTATGGCAATATCTCTAGCTTGAAGTTCCCCTTCAAGATAACTTAGCAACTGTAAAAGATCATTCCTTGACAGGTCCATCTTAGGATGACGCTAAAATTCAAAAGAAACTGAACATTAAAATAAAGCCATTATTAAGGGATAAACAATCTGGCTTATTAAGAACAAAAGACTAAAACCTAAGTACTAACAAAATAAACTAGCAAAAGCATTTGAATTTTTCTAACAATTTTCCAATGTGTAAATTCCTTTTTAAACATTTTCACTTTGCGAGTATTGAAATAGGAAGAGTAGGGATAAAAATAGTTTGAGACAGATTACAAGAGAACATCTTTTGACTGAGGCAACATTCATCTAAGACGAAATAATTCACATGTATATCTTTTTAGTTTTTACAATTATTAAGACAATTTGGGAAGGACCAGCTCTCTTAACGGTTGTTAACATTTGTGGCCAACCCTTTTGCTTTTTATGAACAACTACAGCATCCATGTAAAAACTGTAAATTTATTCATTAATTTCTTTGTCTTTTATTTGCATGTGACATTGTATCTTTTGATATTGAAAGTAAAAAAAAGCAATAAAATATGATGAAACTAACAATGAAATAATTTGATTGTGGAAGAATAGATCTATATTGACCTTTCTAAGACCTAGCTTAACACTGTTTTTTCCAGTACGTTACAGATTTAACTCTCAGAAATTACACCAAATATAGTACAACATATCACTGTTACATGATATTTCTATTTTTCTATCATTGCTTTACCTTTTCAGGTGAAAAAACTTGACAAGTTTAAAAATTATCAATGTTCCTTTAAAATCTTACTGCAAATTTTTCAGAAAATAAATTTTGGCATCTTCCATAATTATTAGAGCTGTCATTTATTCATAGCAAAGCATATTGACAGGGTTCTCAATAAGAGCCGGCCGCCGGCCGAAATGACCGTTTAAAAACACTTTTTGGCCGGCTGAAATTTGTAAAATTTTCAAGTAATACCAAAAACTGAGAACATAATTTGACTGTCAAATACTGATGTTCCGTGATAATTATTAATTTTTCAGTAGAAACACAATAAATGATTGGAATAAATCTGAAAACAGACTTTTATTAGCAAATAAATCTTAATTAAACTTGCATAAAGTGAAACCGGAAGTCCAACTCCATTGCCGATTTTTCCAGCCTATTGCAATGAAAATACTTGCTAAAACTGGACACTATTCAAGGGATTAAACTTTAAAACACATGATTTGTTTGCTATAAATCGTAAAATCAATTGTTGATAGTTGTCATATACTTTGATAATGTGTACTAAAATACATTCATGTGTTGTCGAAAATAGATCTGATTTCGGATGTAACTTATTCGGACATGCAATTACGGATTGGGAAATTTTCATGAAAGAAAAAAAGAAATGTTTTAAATAAAATATCTTTCTTTGACTGAACTTCATACACTGATATATACAATGCTTATTTATGAATAAGCAATTTTAATGCAAGTAATATAATATGAATAACAAGCTTGTTATCAAAGTTTTGATACCCTAGGTATAAAAATTAAGGGCAATATACTTTGATCAAAATGACTTAAAATCTATTATTTGTTGTTCAAATCAGGGACAAAAGATGTAAATCCAATGTTCCTTCTCAAATCTTACACCAAATAACTGATACATTTTTAGTGAATTACATGTACTGAGTCAGATTTGTTGGCATAAATAGTAAAAGTTTTTGTGACATTTGCTCTGTTCCATGTCTGACAAATAAGTTTATAGAATTTATGACTAACACATTTAGGTCCTGTTCAAGCTTTTAACTTCAAAATAAGAATCAATTTTAGGATCAGGATCAATATTTGGATAAACTGTAAAATTCCCTTTTCTTACAAAAATAACAATAAATTTATCTAAAATTTCATAAACTTACCATCGCAAACCAAACTTCATCAAATTAATATTTGATATATAATCTATGAGTATAAACAATGAAGAATATTAGTTTTCAATTTAATCCTGATCCTTAAATTTTTGTGAACACTCAGCCTGTTTTGATTTTGTATACATGAACTGTACATTGATGTATATATGTACATGTGAAACGGTAAGCTCTATTGAAATCTTGTTAGTGCCATGTCTGCAGCTTGACAGGCAACACATAATTTGCTTATTTTTATTTAATCATTTAATGCCAGGTGAGTATTCACATAATTGGCAAGTCATTTTAAATGCCATTCTGTTCAATGAAAGCGTTAATCCCTAAAAAATGAAACACAATTATTGGCATCTGGCACATGATATTTTATTATTGAATAAGAGTGATTTTTATGCAGTAATTTTCTAATATTTTTCTCCTGTCATCAATTAATGCCCGACATAACTGTTTTGGTCCAGTATTTTAAATGAATTGCCGGATATGGTGTTTCATTAAGTTTATAATGAATTAAAAAACAGTATTTAAGGCAAAACTGTACTTTTTTTCCCAATTGATCAGAATTTAATAGTGTGAGAAATTTTATGTTTTTTTTTTCAAATTATGCCTTTACATTTGGTCTTCTGTAATAGTTTTAAACTGCAAAATATGGCCTAGAATGCAGGAAATCAAGTGCTTAATTTCAAAATTTTTCGGGGGAGCATGCCCCCGGACCCCCCTAGGAGTCCTGCTAGAATTCAAATTTGGCCTGCTGAGCTGAAAGTTATTGAGAACCCTGTATTGACGATACATCGATATCAGATGACAAATATCAACAATACACTGATATATCGATATATACATGTATATATATTCATGTACTCCTAATTTCTTGTATATATTTCACTTTCATACCTGTTTAAATGATTTTAGTAAAATATATGTCCTGTTGTGCATACAAATATGTTGTGTCCTGTTTATAAATGTCCTTTGCATGATTTTTACCTAATCAATTTTAGTCATCACTGCTACGAAATGTGTTCATAATGTCAGAACAGCTCTGTGTTAGACATGGCCACCTGCTTTTGTATATGTTTTGGGTGAATCTTCATAATTTATAGACAATAAAATAATTAATCAAAATAATCGATTTTTTAAAATGTGTATCCATTATTGATTGACGGAAAAATATCAACGATACATCAACGATGACAGCTCTAATAATAATACTGGACAAGGACCACCAACCGGACACTTTTTGAACATTTTTCCATACAGATTTTATAATTTTAAAGCTAGAGGTCTGAAAATTTTACACAGTACAGCTAGGTACGTAGGTTCTTCTTGGAACCAACAGACTAGTTTATTTATTTCTGATTATGTTGACACTTATATCTGAGGCCTGTCAAGGAAGGTATCAAAATTACCTGAATTGTCCACACTACAGTACCATGTGTCCGGACAGGTATGTCCATGATGCTGACTTAATTCAATAAAAGCTTTGGTGTTTTAATTTTTTAACATAATATAAAATATTTCAGCAGCAAATGCTGAAGTTTTGGATATTCTATTATTTACTCTACAAATGATAACAGCTAATATAGTCTTGACGTCCAAATTTTCAATGTCAACTTTCTTGAAAAAGACATTAAAATATTACCGTTTACAAAAATTGAAATAAATTTAATCACTTAATTATAGAACAAACATGCAGTTATTATTGATATAAAAGCAACTGATAGATCAACAACCAATGAACAAATAAAAAGGCATTTTGGGCCGTCCGGCTTTGGTGGTTGTCCAACCAGTAGATATTTTCTGCATAACCTTGGATATTTACTTTATTTTTTGTATGTTTTTTCACACAATGATATTTAATTATTTTCTTACAAAGAAATAACTCTTTAATTTCACAGATACAGGCATTAAAAATTTTGTCTAAAAAATTTGGTTCCTGTAATCACCGCTATGCATAGTACCAGTGTTGGCTTGCATCTAGGCCGCGCGATTTGCACATATTTTATGCACATCGCGCATTTTAATGAAGTCAATGTTCGCCAAGTCGCGCATCTGATGATCTTTTCAATTTAATTCAGTTTATCTTCATCGTATCTTGAACGTTTCAGTCATGTTTGTTTTCACCTGGGTTATGACTAAAATACATACTAAATCGTGTGTAGCAGCCGACTGGGTCATCTCGCATGTGTTTTGTAATATTCGTCAATATTTTATTTTTCTATTTCCTTTTTTGAGCAGACGACAGCTGTCAAAAATGCCTGAACGTAAAATAAATGAATTCTTTTTGGTATGTCATATTGTTAGGTAAATGTATGTCCCCCACATTTTTTCCAATTCCCCAACATTTTTGAATTGAGTGGGGGACAATCCCCCATAATTTTGAAATTCTAGATGCAACACTGAGTACACACTAATATGGAGGCTGTTGACATAATTTTTACAAGGGATTCAGTAAAATTGTTAAAAAGTTGTTTTTTTGAGAAGGAAAATACACATTTGTGGTAGGTTTATGATTATTTATAAGTCTATAACATTTTTTTACATGGGAAGTTTGAATGATTGTGCATGTTTATTGTTTTTCATTTTGCTATGGACTTTTAAATAGATATCTTTAGACGTTTAAGCGGATTTGACCGGTCACCCATGTAAAAAATAGCTTCAAATCCGTGGTTATGTCTAAATATTTGGACTACAGCAGTCCTGTCACAGGTCATAAAATATTCGACAATATTAAATTCAAGTGAGGCTCTGTACAGTAATCAAGAAACAAATATATTATTACAAACACTGAATGTTTATCAAAACCATGCTGGCATGCAAATTATTATGTGCCAAAAGAATCGTCAAAAGCTCCGAGTAATTTTCTAGAGTGGGTGGACCAACGCTCGGCGTAAAAATACTATATTTGATATGGCCAATTCAAATCAACGTCAACAAACCTCAATGTTATATGTCCATTTTCAAGACCGATGATATTTTTTTAAATAGCCATTGTGTAAATTTCGCTAATCACATAATGATGTGCATGGCTGGAGCTATAGATAGTCCGGAGAAACAAGAGTGGTTTGCGTGAAACTGTACCATAGCTCGGCGTACAATACTACATGATGCAGGATTGTTTTTCGAATAAAATCTCTTTTTGATCTTATGAAGAAAACATATTGAATAAATTGTAACAACCAAATTAGGTTCAAAAATTTACAAGTACCCAACTTTTAGTTTAAATTTCATAGCCCCAGAACTCTAGTGTTAAAAGATTTTAATAATTTATATGTTGGGGATTACATACGGTTGTTCGTCTGCTATTAGCATTGTCACGTGACTTTACCAGCAGTAAACCACACCAGGATAAAATGGTGAAGGATGTAAATAAAAGCACCAGTGACCTTAATCGGAGATAACTCGAGACATTTTCAGATATTCTAAAAAAATTATTTTTTACGCCGAGCATTGGTATGCGCCGAGCATTGGTCCAACCACTCTAAACATAGTCGTTCTTCTCTCTCGCTCTGACAACAAGTGAATTTGTCTTGCAAATTAAAACAATATCACTAGATCTCTTCCAACTAAAATTATAAGAAAAACTTTACCTTCAACGTATTAGAATTCACTTTATCAGGGGAATCGAATCCACCCGTATTTGGCTTCATATTTCTACCCGCCATCTTTGTTTTTTACTCCAGTTCCCCTAAACACGACCAAGAATCGTCAAGTTTTGTCTCGATTACAGATCATTGCGAATTAACACCATTTCAAAATGAGAAATAATTATACATTATTTCATAAAACATCGGTTTTAGCTTCAATAAGTTTTTATTAATCGTTAAATCATTCCATATTTACTGGAAACATATCAACAAAGTAAAATAAAAAAAATTCAAGTCACGTGACCAATGTGAATCGGAAATAATTTTATACGTAAGGATCGCTCATTCATGGTAACAGACTACTAAATATGCTTGTTAATGTCAGAGACAAACAAAATCATATAGATCTATTACTCATTATATTTATAAACATTTTAAAATACCTGAAATTCAATATGTAATGACGAAGGATTTAAATGTTACTGTAAAAAAACAATTGTTGAATAATTTTAGAATATACTGTACTGTACAATTTACAGTACGTTGAAAAATGCTATACTGTACTGTATAAAAATTATAATAATGATGGAAAACTACGTACTTATGCACTGTTTGCCGGGAACCTTATTTAGCAGTAATCGAATATATTGATATTATATAAAATATTATATAATATATTGTTTAAAAAAAGATAAGGATAAGTCCTCACAAATTACGATATTGGGAGATATAAAAATCAAGTCTGAAAGAAGATTCTGCGAGATATGCAACTCAAAATCAAAAGAAGTTGAAGACGAACTTCACTTTGTAACTTTTTGTACACAATGCTTTTACTAGACAACGCAGTATTTTATAGAATGAAATAAAGGATAGGAATTTGAACTTTGAAAAAATGTCTGAGATAAGCAAACTCATTTGGTTAATGAGCAATGAAGATGAAATAATCGTAAAACTATTTGCAGTTTTTTTTTACTTGATGCTAACTCAGAAATAATACTGAGAAAATGTTGTTTAATTCAGTACTTGTGTATTTTTCCTTGAATTTATATTATTACCATCTACTGTATATTTTGGTTAGTTTAGTTTGAGAATGCTTTATCTACAGTATAATGATAAACAACAGGTTTAATCTTTGAACAAAGACTTGAGTATAATTTAAAAGCAAACTTAAAATAAGATACAACAACACAGAAGGGTTTAAATTGTAACGTTAGTCGATCTCTGAAAAAATCTACAAATAAAATGGAAGTTTATGGAAGGTTATTTTTGTACACAATTTAAATTTCATGTTTTAACAATTTTCCAGAAATTTTCAGTCTTAACCCTTTACCTCATATAGACGTGTTTTGAAGGTTTTTCGACCACCCCCCTTTTTGAGGCCTCAAACAGTGAAAAATTACCCTATTTGGGCCCCAAAACACTGTTTTTCGTTTGGAAAATGTTGTTAAAAAAGTGATCACTTTTTCGGCGCTGCCTCTATCAAAAAGGTACACCAGGGGGTTGCCAGAAGGGGGATGTGACCCCTTCTGTTTCGGGGGTTTGAATCGTCGCCAAGAAAATTTTGGACATGTGACAGGCTAAAAATGGCCTCAGGTCGATCATAAGGTAACGTGTAACCAACGCTGAAAAGCCTTTTACTCCATCTCAATCCATTGAGAAGTTGCAGCACTTTGAAATCAGTTTTGGTGGAAAAAAAACCTATCCAAACTAGTTATTTTTGGCAATTTTGAGACGTCCACCCGTTGCCATGGTAACAGGAAATTTAAGATTGAGCATGCTGTTACAGAGGCTATGGTCCAGTTAACATTTGTGCCAAGTTTCACCAGTATTGAAGCGTTTTCCATAGTTTCATAACAGTTTGAACTTGTAACAGGAGGCTTTTCGGTGAAGACAGCCATTTTTCACAATATGCTCATGAGGTAAAGGGTTAAGCGTGTTAGAGCGTAAAATGCAGTTTTCTTTGAATCTTAAATGAGGACTTTTGGTGCATTTTCGATACCGCCCCACCCCCTAGACTGAAATTTGTTGTTAGTTCCTAACAATTTCAACATACATATGAATACGGATATGGTTTGTCTCATTAAGAATTATAAGTAGTTTTATGAAAATGACTCGTTTTGAAATTTCCACCGGATTTAATTACATTGCTATTAATGGCTTTGATAAGTCATTGCACGGATTTATATTACATATAGTACCAGTTCGACTTAACTTTTTTGTTGTTACGAGCTAGACCTTATAGATGTTTAGCATGACACATTTTCTAATGGTTGTCTATAAAGTTTGTTCAAATAAAAGCCCCGGGCTTTAAACTGGCCCTGCTCCGGGGGCCTATGTACAGGTGAGCGACTTCAGGGCCATCATGGCCCTCTTGTTAATTTATTTACGAATTATAAGTAGCTTTCTGTGTGTGTACAACAAAAAACATGGTTAATTGCACCCATTTTCTAAAAACGCGCGACTGTATCGAATAAATGAAAATGTTTATTGATCTAAATTATATAAAAAATACAAATTACCAACATGTTTTCAAATGTTCACACTTTTTTATTTTCCATTTTAACAAATTTTATAGAATAATTAATGGTGAAAAAGTAAAATTCTTTCATTTTACATGGGGCCTGTGTTTATGACATGTTTTCTAACTGGCCTTTAGGAATGAAATACAAAAAGAGAACATATAATGGTAATCCACCTTGAAAAAAAAAGTAAAGTGATATCATGTATCATATTTCTGATAGTTTGATGACAAGAATTTGCCGTTAAGTAGTCCAAAAAGACAAATATGCTAGAGAAATTTAGACTTTGGTGTCGCTTCAATTTAATTGTCGCGTGGTAGGTCATGAATATGATAGGTCACTTATCTATAAAAGAGGTTTGTAAACAATAGTGCATGTCACATAGCAAGTCTTTATCAAATCTTTTATAATAAAAACAATAATGTCCATAAAATATCACAAACATCTATTATGATTGTCAGAAATATCATTTTTGGGTATGTCTGGGCAATTGGTTATAAGGTATTAAGCTGGAATTCAAGCAAGGATGATCATTTCCTATTGCGGTACACTTCAATATAAAATCTTAAAAGAATTAGCGGCTGATAAAGCCTATAGAAATAAACTGGAAGTGAGCTCTGGTGTTTTTTTTTTCTGGTGACAAGAAGAATAAAAGCAAACAAAATGAAATACACTAACGTGCACTCATGTCCACATAAAATACATGTACTGTAGATGACCGAATTATAATTATTTGAATTTTTAATGTATGTCCTTTGACATTGACTTTAAGAAAGGGCGATAAATCTAGTTCGACTATTTTTATTCTTGTTTTAATGAATTATCTTTCATACTACATTTATTAGATACTATTGTTACATTATGTATTACATTTGTCGATGATGTAGCAAACTGTGCAGAGAATCAAATGTAATTTACACTCTTATAATACTGGAATGGAAATCAATCTTGATAAAACAGAAGTAATTGTTTTCCTTAATGATCGTCCTTAACGTAATTATGAGATATAGTACTATAATATCAATGTACCAGTTTACTGTGCAGCTATGATAATGTGAGAGTGACGTTGCATTTTTTGTGTACACAAAAGTTTACAATCTTTGTCTGAATAGGTAAAACAGGGTATTTAGAAGTGAATATGATTCAAAATCAGAAATAAAATTTGAAAAGTCTCGATGGCAAAGTTGGTTAAGTCACTAGGATGCCATACAAATTAAATTGTATCATGAGTTCGAGCCATACAAGTTGTCAAACCTTTTTTCCCTTTTCTTTCCCAATTTTTATTTTTACATCAGATGCAAATTAATTGGAATATAAAGGCAGTTTTGTTATAATTTCGAATAATTTATATATACCGGAAATAATAATTTTTATTCTGTGTAGTGTGTAATATATATTAGTAGTACTTTTGCAGTGCATAAGTTTTTCGTGCCAACTTAACTATAGTTGAAACAATTTATGTACATGTATGCATTCCGAATCAGGTTGCACCAACTTGCTAGATATAGCAACATTTAAAAACAAAAGTGAAATGAGAAGTTAATAGAAAATAACACAGCGCTAATAATCTTTACAAGAAAAAAAGAAATTCTTAATCGATTGATTATTATACAAAAAATTTGGGACCGAACCTGGCTGTCTTGCATTGACATGTAACTAAAAATTTACCACACAACTTTACCTACTGCGTTACGTCGACAGTTGGTAAATTTGTCGATATTTTAATTTATATGGAAAGCCTGCTTGACTTAATATGATAACTGTTTTACACCGTTAAAGTGGACTTGACCACCGCGTCACTAAATAATTATCCTAAACGCACAGTACTGGACTCATTTTCAGTCCTCAATTATCATATCATTATCATTTTCCAAGTAATTAATTGTTCAAATTTTGCTCATATGAATAAACCGATTTTATGCTTTGGGGCACAAATATGGGATTTTGAAGATAGTTAAAACATTGAATATGTGCATAACAATTTTTGTACTTTTTTTATCTGTAAAAAAGCTACACCTACAGCTATGGTTTTAGGAGTATCTTAAGTATTTCGTTTATGACAAACTGCATAAGATATTTTTGTAAACTTCTGATTAAGCCTTTATCTAGATATCCTGAACAGTGTTTTTTAATGTTGAAGTCACCGGACGAAGTAGGTCGGATATGTTGTGTCACCAAAGTAAAACATGTACTGTTTAGGTATGGTTTTGGTTAAGTCTGGATATCTCAGGAAATTGGTGACATTAACATGTTTCTTAATTTATTTTTAAACAAAGATAACTGGTTGTTGTGCTCAACAATGGCATGAAAATATAATGAATTCTATTCGATGTTTTCACTATAATAAATGCAAATCACTTTTGAACGTTGAACGCTAACTATTAATACCATTTAAACATATAAAGGCGTTTTGTAATTTTCGTTGTTCTAAACGTAAAAAAGGTATAGAAATAGGGAGACACAATGATATCCCAAAGGGCACTACTTGTAATGATAACATAGATGTGAGTTCCATTACTCACTAAACCGTGAGTAAATCAAGTATTTTCTATTCTCAAATACTTCTAAACAACAAAAACAACAACAAACATTATAGGTTTAGGTCGTTGTATTTGACAGAATTATCGAGCAAACAAAGAGAGAAAAAAAATATAGAAAAACAGCTCCATAAAGAAAACACTATTGAAGAAAATAACAAAACATTACAACCATTAAATTTAAAAATTTCAAAAATTTATAACTACATTAATTTAAAGACCAACAAAAGAAAAACAGAATAAACTATACTCGCCTTAATGAAAATTCTTTGTCTTAACTTTAATCACCTTGACCAGATCCAATCATCCACCAAAATCAATCATCATGGCTTTAACAGCAGTCATCTTGACTAGATTCTGTCATCTTGGCCCAAACACAAGTCATCCTAACCCAAATTCAGCAATCCTGTTCCTTTACAACGGTCATCCTGACCAAACAAAAACATTCAGCCATCCTGGCCTATACAACGGTCATCCTGACCAAATTCAGCCATCCTGGCCTATACAACGGTCATCCTGACCAAATTCAGCCATCCTGGCCTATACAACAGTCATCCTGACCAAAAGTCTACAAAAGTAATCTTGACAAATATTTTAGTCATTCTGACTACATTCAGATATGCTGGCCTCTGAATGTAACACACTGACTTAACTACCCTGACCTTATCCTGTGTTGTTGTTGTGTTTTTTTTAAGTTTGTGATTTCATTTTAACAGTTTTCTAGATAAATTAACAAGACTCTTAAACGTAATAAAATATTCATCTGAATATATTTAATAGCAAATATCTCTTAAAAATATTAAAAATATGTAATTGCTTAACTTCTAGTATTGTACATAATAGAAACTAAATCAGAAATAATAACATAAATAACTGTTAGCATGTAATCACAAATTCTAAAGTAAGAGTCTAGGTTCGAACCCTAACTACTATCGTCTCCACAATTGCAAGATTGCAGTATAATTGCATATAAAAGATAAAAAAAAGTAGGGCTTTTATCTCAAAATAAAAAGTGATGTATTATTTTTGTATAAAACAAATTAAAATAAATTGATTACTATTTAATAAGATTTGCACTATGAATGTTTTAAATCATCAAATTTCAATACAATCATATATTATAAATCTAAATTTAAAGATACTGATAATGTGTTTTCGATGAATCATTCACAATACCATCTTTAGCAGTCGCACTTTTCCATCTACCATGTCTTTGCCAAAGTCTATCACTTGTGTTAATAATTACACAATAATGCGACTTAAACTATCTACCGTCTTATTCAGCGACCTGTTAATCCAAATAACATTTAAAGATCATTTTCTGCACATGACATAAACATTTTAAATGCGAAATTATGCAACACTAAATCTGTGCTACCTTTTTCTATTGTGCTTACGCAGTTCTTACTATCTGTATGTCATTGAACTGTTTTACCTTTAAATTTTGAAATAAAACTATCCAGACAAAATTGAATTGCTAACAGTTCCCTTATACATCGAACTCTGACAACGTTCATAATCTGACCATACTTCGTGTGCCACAGAACCATCATAGTCAATATATGCAGCACAAGCCACCGCAGACGCATCAGCATATAATTATGAACACCTCCGGAACATAATCTTTAAATAAAGATTTCTGAAAAGGAGAACTTAATATGTTTCTCCAGAATTCAAGAAATGATTTGGCATCATTTGCACGTTGAAATTTCAAACAGTTAATAAATAATAGCTGATTCAACAAAATCCGAATGATCTATAGCTGACTTGTTATTTTTCATAATATAACTCGGAGGTTTAACTAAAAATGGTATTACATAACCATATATAATAACAGACAATATATCTCTATCTACTTGAATAATATCAGTCCAATATTGCAATAAACTTTTTAATCTTCCTTGAACAGATAAGTCAGAAATTGAGCAAGAGATTTCAAATTGATTTGCAATAAAAGAATGATAATTAATGCTAGAGAAAAAGTTACTTTTAGCAAAGTCCAATACTTATCAGAATCACTTTCTATTTGCTGTTTGTTGTTGTTGCATGCCTTAGTCCACAATGAATTGTTGTTGTTGTTGTTGCTGCGGGCTGAACTGAGAAGAGAGTGTGGCGACTGGTCCCAATGCTCCATGACCACGAGATCCGATTCCAGATGTTGCAACTCCGTATTCGGTGGCACAACCTGATGCGAGGTGTCCAATTTCTCCACATTTATAGCATACTACCTCCCCCAATTGCACGAAGCGCCGCCCCATTGGTCCCCTCGAATAGGGGGTGCTATTTCCTCTACAGCTGCGAAAAGAAGAATGCCCAATAGGGCTGAAAATATCAGAAAACACAGCTTTCTTTCGTTTTTCAATCTTATTAATAGCTCTTTCCTCTGCTTTTCTAATACGCCTATCATCATTCGAATCAGAGGCAAAGTCACACAACTCATACTCATTAACTGTACCCCACCCAGCTGAGGAACTATCAGCAATACGAATAATTTTATTTCTATGCTCTAATTTTTCTCTTGCTTCCTTCAAAACTTGCTTAGCTTTTGAAGCATCTCTTTTTCTAACTGCTCTATCACAAATGTCTAACACCTCTAAAATTTCACAGTTAAAATCAAATTGATTCTTATTTCCAGCATTGGAGAAAGAAATTAAATTGTTAAGTCTGACCTTCTTTCTTGAAGTTTCAGCTGTCCACTCTACTTCTGCTTTCAAATAGTGTTTCAATTCTGAAAACTTCTGGTCGAAAATTTCTTGCATTTCTCCAATAAGAGTCCTCTTTAAATCTGAACTGCTTTCTTCTGTCATTTTACGAATTGTATTCTGTCAAATACAGACCTCGAGTGACGCTTTTACACATTATACTCCCTTATATACAGTACAAGCACGTGAAAATCGTTCAAAATGATAAAGGAATGTGCAACAAAGTAAATCGAATTAACGTAAAATCATAAATATTTGCTATAGATATAACAGAAACCATAAACTGCGTATTGCTCGAAACGAAAATAATTTCATTTATTTCTTGATATGTATAAAATACAATCATATTCGTGATGATTATTTATTCAATTGGTATTTTGACATCATTGCAAAAAATATTGCGCAGCGAAATAATTTATCAATAGTTTAAAGATCAATTATGTATACGTTAAAGTTTATTACATGTGTGATATTCCCGTAAATGTATGGATGATTAATAATCAATGATGATTGTACAAATAAAAAAATCATATTAATAAATGAATAGTCTGGAAAATATCTTATCAACCCTTCCACATTCGGGCAGTCTGGAGAGGTTCTAAACAGATAGCTGATTGGTTTAAAACATTCATCTTGACATTCCCAAAATTGATAATGGACGGTCCCAAAATGGAAACTGGACAAATCCATTTTCAGAAATTCAGTAGTTTAAGGGTTAATTGTTTTAATATAGACATCAATGAAAGAACAAAAAGAGGTTTAAAAATATCTGTTCATAAAAGTAATGACTTTTTAAACGTTGAATTTCACATTTTACACGTAGACAAAGGAAAGCGATTGCCAATCGGCAATCAATAAAGGCTTCTTGTTCATTTTCACATTGCATTATGTGCATCAATAGTTTTTACAATACATTCATAAATAGACAATGTTTAATGGAATTTCGAAACTAGAAAATTGAAGGGTAAACAATATTGAAATGAGCTTTATTTCCTTATATGAATGAATCATGAATCTGCATGTGGTGATAAATTGGTTTATTGCCCTTGACAAAAAAGTTATGGCATTGCTTTTATTCCATTCCGGAATTTGTTATTTACTTTTAAAATACCAAACTATGACATTGTTTTAAAATTTACGTTAACATTAATTAAAGCGTTTGATATCAACGAATAAAGATTTTGTTTTCAAAATAAAAGTTTTCAAGAACCATCTATCTCGGTTCAAAGTTTCATCTCCTGGGACAGTTAATCATATTTTGAAACAAGTTCTGAAATTCGCGTTGGGGTCTTGACCTTGAACCAGGGTAAACTATAGAGAAAACGATTCCGGCTGGGTGTCATAAGGCCTCAAACTTGACGATAAATCTCTAGTGTATGTAAATAATTCTTGCACGAGACGGTATTGCCTCAAACTTGACGACGATAAATCTCTAATGTATGTAAATAATTCTTGCACGAGACGGTATTGCCTCAAACTTGACGATAAATCTGTAGTGTATGTAAATAATTTTTGCACGAGACGGTATTGCCTCAAACTTGACGATAAATCTCTAGTGTATGTAAATAATTCTTGCACGAGACGGTATTGCCTCAAACGGAGCACACGGCGAGGAATTATATGCGTTTTACAAATAATAAGACGAATTACACAGAAATAATGTACGAACATGCGCATACGACAGTCCACGACGATTAAGACCCCTTTTTTATATCTGACATACAAAATATTCGTGTTTTTTAATAATGTGTGCTCGCCAAAGAACACATTTTTCACGTGTTATAGATATTTCATAAAAGACCTGTTATTACACGTTGAAAAAAACAACAACAACCTGTTTTAAGCGGCCATGCTCTGGAGTAAAAACCACCCACTATTTCATGATTTAAATGCGATTTTTCAACAATGAAGCCAATAATGATTTGACTATAAAATGTATTACAAAATATTTTGCAGTTCAAGATTCAGTTTATTAGAAACATACATGTATTTAAAAATTTGAGGACATTGAACATTTGTTAAGTGTATGTACCATAACGTAATGAGGATAAAATGATAATTAGAGACATTGCCAGACTCCGAAAAAGAAATACATTAAGTTTTTTTTTTGTAAATACCATACCATTTACTTGTAGAGTCTACGCTTAACATTGTCAGTTAATCTATAAATTATCATATTCGCTAAAATTATTCATTTTATGGCGCATCCCGAGCATGAATTGAATGTGTTTACAAGCGGGTACATCAAAGAACAATTATCGAATCTAATAGCCGGGCTCAAAGTGCTATTGTTACACTGTGCGGTTGGTTGTCATACATTGATAGTGGTTGGAACATTAATTTAAAATGTGCTTTAGGTAAGAATTTCTATTTCATCATTTAAATTTTTTGTCAATAAAGAATTTCAACATTTTAAGAGAAGAATCATTTACTGTATTCCATTTTAGTAAAAATAAAAAAATAGTGAGTATTTAATTACGACAAAAAAACTGTAATACGTATATCGCAATTACAAGATAAGTTTCTTATGATTACGATTCAGTATTTACGATTTAATTTGATTTTGTACGCAAAACTTGGCACGCAGAAATTTGCTAAGTGTACAAAAAGTCAAAATTCATTCAAACTCCCTACCAGATTTACCGGATTGGAAAGTGAACAATTATGATCAAGAAGACATGTATAAGTCTTAAGTGAATACTTTCAGTAGTTTTGAAGACTGATCTTGCACCAGGCATTTACAAAGTTATCAAAGAGCCATTCATCCAGTTATGATCCAAAAAAAGGCAAATATCTTAAGTTATTTATATGAACTTGTTACAGGAAGTTTGATTTTATCAATGAAAATTAGTGGGGGAAAAACCCACACACTACGCCATTAAAACAGCCCAATGTAACTTTACAACTGTCCAATGGTTTCAAATGTGTCACGTGCATGCTTTGCTCACTGAATGTTCATCTGCACTTTGAAGTCAACATGAAATAACTGGAAAAACTGATGCCGTCTCTTACGGCCAATTCAAGATCATTTGAGCCGCGTCACGACAAAACCAACATAATGGGTTTGCGACCAGCATGGATCCAGACCAGCCTGCGCATCCGCGCAGTCTGATCAGGATCCATGCTGTTCGCTGTCAGTTTCTTTACTTGTTATAGGGTCTGTAAGCGAACAGCATGGATCCTGATCAGACTGCACGGATGCGCAGGCTGGTCTGGATCCATGCTGGTCGCAAACCCATTATGTTGGTTTTGTCGTGACGTGGCTCATTTGTGTTTCATTAGGACACTATTTTGGTATTTTAGAAAACGTAACCTGCTCACTTTGAAACCAGCAAGAAATAGGTGATGAATATCACTATGCTTTTAAATGAAGTTATTTTACTCATGGACTCATGGAACACAAGTATATCAGTTATTACTATTCAAGGTTTCCTAGTATTTTAAATTTTCAGGCTTTAATGTGTTGTTATAGCAGAAATACTTTATTTAATCTAGCAATGTTTGTTAAAACAATTATGCTGAAATTTCACTTACTTATCTTCCTTATTCTATGCCATATTTGTATTATCATTTGTTGTATTGTTTGTTTGTTCACTCTTATGCCCTTAATGACCATGAGATTTTGTTAATAAATAAAATCATTCCTTTTTAGTAAATTCTTATAAACAATCTACAGACATAACAATCAGTCGAGGCATAATACATGATTAAATTTTGAAATTACAGAAGTGCATACATCCAAGTAAGATGTCAGCGTATCTTCTCTTTGTCGTGATAAGTTTAACATGTTTTCGCGAGTCTGAGTCATCGGCAGAATATAAGATAACAGATTGGCGTCGTTGTCCGGATTCAAAGACACGGTATTTAGCAATACCACAAATATCTATTGAGCAGTGTGTACATGAATGTAAAGTTAGACCAGTTTGCAAGGCCATCAGTTATCAACGCCTTTTACGATTATGTGAAATATATTCGACAGAAGTTGACCTAGGTTTGAAACCATCCGCAGGTAGAACTCCATGTGTGTTTATCGCAAGAAAAGACATTAAACAGGTATTTTAGATATAGTATTTTCTATATTATTGTTATTTATCGTATAATCAAGCGGACTATGAAATAGTCCGGATTTGCACTGACTCTTCAATGGCATATATAATGGCATTGTGTATTTGTGTTAAATCAACCATTGACGGCTTTAATTGTAGAAGACAAGGGACCAATTCTTCATGTTACATAAACTAATTTTTTGTAATTTTGTAAAGATCAGAAAGGTTGTTAACATGGTCTCTGTGATCTAGATCTGTACTCTTTGTAATGCGTTAATGACTGTAAGCGCAATTTTCTTTCCTAAATACGTGTAAAAGGTCTTCTTCGTCTATAATTAAAACACATTTAATAAGAAAAATACCTTTTTTGGCAAAGGTAAGTGTGACCTTGAAAAGAGATTAACTAACCTCAGAATCAGTAGGGGTCATCAAACCTCGTTGGGAAATCTTATTAACGTTCGGACACTCTTTTAGTGGTAAGGCCACGATGACAATGACACTTGACCGCCTGACCTCAATTAATACACAGTAATGACAAGACTGAAGACCAAATCTAAGGGCTGTAGGCTTACGCAGTCTCTGGTTATTGATCAGACACGCTTTAAGTAATCAAAGTCTCGATGACCTTAAACTTTGACTAATTGACCTCAAAATCAAAATGTGTCATCTTCAAATAATGCTACGCCATGTCGTAAACAGTAGGTCAAAGCGTTTTCCAGTGATTGCTAGGACATACCTTTAATGGCCAAGTCAACGATGACATTGACCTTAAACTTTAAAACCAGTAGGGGTCATATACGAGTCATAAACATACTGCACACCAAAGACATATGCCACGGTCACCTTGACCTTTTAACAGCTGACCTTGTAAGGATTCTTTTACAAGCCATGATCGTACAGCATTCACAGACTGCATCCAGTTAGTTATTTAAGGCCACGGTGACCTTGATTTCTGACCGACTGACCACACAATCATTTAGGGTTATGTACTAGACAGTCACGACCAGTCTTCACAACAAATCTTAGGACAGACTCTGTGCAAAGCAGATTACCCACGCTTCTATGGAAGGGGAATAAATATGAATAAAAGACAATATATAATGCAGCGTGACAACGACGTTAAAACTTATTTCAAAGGAAAACTGTGGCAGACATTAGGCAAACACACATTTAACAATGTAATTTTATCGGTCTACCTGGATCAGTGTAAAAACGTTGATGTACAGTTATTAGAAATTAATTAATTCATGTGGATTTTCAATTCATTCATAAATATGCAATAATGAAAACATTTCCTGCTTATTGTTCTAAGTTGTAACTTCCCGCAACAGACGAGGGGTAACAATTGTTCTTTTCAATGACATAACATTTGATATTTTTGTATTTCCATCATGTAAGGATTGACATCAAATGTGTTTGGGTTTCTTTCTGAATTGAATGATAGTTATGTTCCATGACAAAACAGGTTACAACCCCAAACGAGTCTATGGGAAAATATTATGGTTTAAGCAATCTTTAGATATTGATCGGACGAGCACATGATAAAGCGTCACCTTTAAATGGATGGGCATCTACTTGTTATGATATACTACACAAACTCTTAAGGCTACACGACAAAGCGTTCTTTAGTCATAGAAGAAGGAATAAAGTGATGGTCAGGCCTCAAACGTAATCTCAATCAATCCCTTCATCAAATATGATGGCTTGTAATTAGTAGGACTTCAAGGACACGTGTGGCCTTGACTTTTGACCATCAGGCTTGAAAATTAATATGCGCTTCTAGCATTTATCAACATATCAACATATTGGTCGGACCAAAAGTGTTCTTTGACTTCCATACAAAATACTAAACCGCTTCTTTTTTTACAATGGTGAAAATGCAAAAGAAGCAAAACATGGCAATGTGTACCAGTTTAGAAACTGTGACAGTGTACTGATAAGAAAACGCTTTTGAAAGAAATAATGACAAAGCATTCTGGGGTTGTAATGGGCCTAACAGGATGTGTTGACTTTTAGCCCTTTAAAGAATTTTCTCCTTTTAAATAACATAGGGCTTAACCTGCTACTGCACTAAGTTGACGATATGTCAGTAGCATTAATTAAGAATTTAAGAGCATGTTTGAAACAAATTTTCGTTTGTTTGTTTGTACTGATGTTGTTGAATTTTATTTTATTTTAAGGACACTATCACCTGCAACTGTACAGATGGACAAGTCTGTAACACTTCGAGTGGTTCATGTAGCATAAAAGGTGATGTATATATTCACTGTAATTTGTTTTGCAATGAAAAAGTTATCATTTTAATGTCTTTGTCGTTTTCGCTATGCTTTTCTCTATTTAACTGTCTACAATAACGCTCCGTTAGTGCTTTACCATTGTGTACTCTCCTGTTTTTGTTTGGTGCCGTGCTAGGCCTTTTGCAGGTGATCCCGTGTTGCTCGTTTTTAATGTGGTATGTGTTCATTTAATGCCCATTTCTTTTGTATACAATTGTATTTGTTTTCACATTTTTCGGACATCGCATTACATCGACCATTCCCAGAATTGCAGCTTATATTTATCACAATGTGATTAACTCTTCACATCAAACCGAGATATTTGGGTGTCAAATGCAGACACTACTAGTTAGTCGGCCTGATGGAAAGTTCTGCCCATATATGCAAAAATACATGACATGGTAACACAAATCTGCTGGAAAGTGTGTTTATGATCTTTGTGTGTGACTTTAAAGAGAAACAAGCGTAAAATATGAACAAAAGATAATATCAATGTGCAAAGACATATGCGGCCGCTGCAATAGAAACTTTTGTAACTAAATGTTTCAACTAAATCAATAATCCATTCATTTATTAACTGCCATAAAGAACTCGGAAGAGTTTATATGCAATTTTATGTGTACATTTTTGCATTTGAATTCCCCTCTTTGCCTGTAGACAACTCTTTCTAATTTGTGTTTTATCTGGGGGGAAAAGGCGCTCTTTCATACAAAACGATATTTAGCATCGTTGACAAAATACTAATACATAATAATGTTAATGAATATGAAAAAAAAAAATTATGCAGAAAATTAGACTACGTATAGATCAACCTGGTTGTTTGTCGGTAAAGAGAATAAAATTTGATAAACAAGAGGGACAGGCGGCGTTCAATGAACGCAACCCCTACACAACCCAGCAACAAAAACCAGTGGCAAGGAGCTCAGGAGGACCCAACACAAAAACAGGACAGGGTTCCAGGCAAAGCACAGACAGCTTATCACTAAAATGATACATAAGAAGAAATAATAAGGTTGCTCAGGTCTTCTTTCTCCTATAAAGTGAATTGAACTTTTAGAAATGTCTTACGAATAATTCTTTGCCTGCTATATTTACATAATAGATTTCTCCGAATAGTACGGTCAAATTTTAAAAAATGTCAATATCTAAATATAGAATACGAATACTATATACTGACGACAATGGCTAGTCAGTTTTGGTTTTCCAACAGATGAAGTATTACCCGTAATACGGATATCATTCATTATCATTATTTACAGAATGTAGCCCCTATGATAATGGCGGTGGTAGTGTAACCGTTCACGGCAATAGAAACGAGGTCAAGTCGAAGATAAAATTGTCGTGTCAATCAAATGGTGGAAATTTAAAACAGACCTCCATCTGTAACTCTTATGGAAATTGGAGTCAACGACTGGAATGTCCACATCAAGGTGTGTTGTTTTCTATTTCTTGTACCATTAAGTCAATGTTATATTCATATTGTTACATCTGGATATCCGGTAAAATATCCGGTAATATGGATGCATGTTTGCCATCAACACCCTGTAGCACCGTCTTGGCAGGGCATAGTTAATGGAATAGAAACATCCACTGATATGTTTATTATGGTATTGTCCACGTGATCTTGTAGCCCGTGAACCTACCGCCATTATATGATTCTCTGGAATGGTGAACAACAACATATTACATTGATTTAGGAAAGTAGAACTAAAAGTAACTTCCATAAAGAGATAATACAATACTTTTGTAGTTTGTATGATTATATATTTTTGTTTATGTACAGTGATAATACAGCTTCCTTTTTAAATTTGATTCTGAAGACCGGTGCTTTATAGTGAAATTTTTTCTCCGTACTAGAATGTCCGGACGGAGACGAATGGCTTCAACAAGACATAATGCCCAATTTTGAACTGCAGTTTAACATGCAAAAAATGACTCATCCAAAGGCAAAACAAAGTTGTGAAAATTCAGGCAACCGGCTTGTCCGGATAGACAGTATAGTAAAGCGTGAATACATCAAAGGGATAGGTACATTATGTGAAGGTATCCCTTTAATATGTTTACTGCCTTTTATATATTAGTTATATAAGTAAACAAAAAAGCACTGAAGTTTGTTTTCTCTAAAACAGCAATCACATATATGTACTTTATATAAAAATGTTTTAGAATAGAAGTACATGTATAATCACCATTAACCCGCTAGACTTGCCCAGCTTGTATTTATGGAACTGTCTGTCATCAATTTTGATGATATCAAGATGAAAAAAATGAAGCTGGTCAGTCAATACTGTTGAGCCTTGTCAGTCTGCACGAATTAATCTGACTCAGTACTGGTGGCAAAAGTTTCCATAGGTTAAGGGCTAATGCGTTTATGTTCGTACAAGGCGTTCTAGCCTTTTTGAATACTCTTCAAAGTTGAGATAGTGCATTAGGGGTGTACTAGCTTAAAAGCCCATTACTCTCTAGAAATGCTATTTCTTATTTGCTATTTATTTCTCAAAAGTTTTTATTTTATTTTTGGCTGTAGTTGTCTAAAAGTTATTGTTCATATACTTGTGCCATCTTTTCCGTCACATATGTAGTTTTGTTTTTGTAAAAGATTTGGCACAAACTGTTAAAAACAACTTTAAATGAGTATAGTTTGTTTTAAAACAACGACAACAATAACAACAGCAACAAAAGAAAACCACACAAGAAAAAGCAAGCTACAATTATATTTTTATTTTTATCCACATTGTAGGACTTAATACAGATTTCTGGACTGACGGATCAAACTTTTTGGGTGATGCAGCAATGCGATTCTCAGATAAAAATGCAATGCCATTAGGTGGCACGTTCTGGGAGAAAGGCCGGCCAGATAATTCTGACACAAGAGACAGGTGCGCTAGGTCGCAGCCAAATATCGGTTACCGTTGGCGAGATGCTTACTGCGAGGAACCTTTTCCATTTATTTGTGAAAAACCATAAACAGTACCTATATTATTGACTTGTACCTATTCAAATTTGGAAACGTCCGTGGATAATTTTGGTAATGTTGATACCAAAATGCTTGAGTCTAGCAACAAACTGTACAAAAGTCTAAACATAGTGCATTTCGTGCAATTAGCGGCAAGTTATTATTGTGAGTTATAAATTGTAAATAATTTTGTATCCACATTCCCTTCTACCCAACTTCCTTTGGAAAGCTCTTAAAGGCGATATAACTTTGAGGTATCTTGGTTTTTTTGTGTGACTATTAAAATATTTCTCTCAACGTTTTTGCCTGTCAATCCTGCACCAATTTGGTAACTTTGTTTAGTTTCATAATATTTTATTGCATATATAACTATGTTGATTTACGTCAATTCTTTTACATCAACATAATTACACAATATACAAAAGGGTTTGACCAAAAGCTTTTGCAACATTATTGAGGGCCTTCCTATTTCTCCTGTTTATGCGGGTGTCCATTCCTAGGCATATGCTATGAAAAAAGACATTGCCATGAATGTGTTCCATTTCAAAGACCAGAGCATAGTCTCAGTTATTACCAAAGTGTATCTCAACGTGTAGCACCTTTGTTAAAGAAAAACAGTCATTGTAAAACAACAAATATAGAAGAAGCACATATCTAGTTTTATGTGAATATAAACATATACATGTACTAATTTTATGAAGACTTAAACATGTTATATGAACAAGCAAACAACTTTCCGCATTATTCAATACCCGTATAACAAGAATTACAGGATAGAAGATGTCCTATCTTGTAAATCTAGTATTAAAGAAGTCAAGAAATAGTAGCCTTCACGCGTTACGATTGTACTTTTAACTGGCGTTGTATTTCAAAATCCTACCGTCCGTATAGGCCTTTACCATGTAAGTATCAGATATAGAAATCACATACCATTATATAGTTCTAGATAAAGTCTGTCAGTTGACTTTAATTTTAAATCATTAATGAATAACATACATATTCATTAACTACATGAATAAATAATTGATGACTCTACTGAACTAATTGCTTCAGTCAGTTTTTTATTGGCTTACACGTGTTTGATATAAAACCACTTGAAATATGTATACACTTCAATCATAAACTTGTACGTTAAACACTTTCGGAAAGTGCGGAGTTGAATAATTCAGATACTTTCATCAAATTACATTTAAATTAGTTCATTTTTGTTATTTAAGTTGAGTAATTTAACAATTAACTTACATGTAAAAATCATTTTGCTGAGTTTCTATCATCAGATATTAATAAAAAATGGATCGGGTCCTTAGTCGTCAATTTTTGTCTAAGTGTTGAGAACTTGCACGCTTCTTAATAAAACATATGAAAAGCTGATGTTATTTATTCATTGAAACTCTCTCCATTTTGTCTAAAGGGACACTACTTTTTCATAATCTATGTAAACAGAGTTACAGTGTACAGTTATTTCAAATATGATTTTGAAATAGTCAAAACTGTTGACCCGAGGTGGAGGGTATAGTGTTTTGAACTGTTGCCCAAGGCCGTACAAATACCAAATTACATTTATATAAGGTATAAGGTAATACAAGTAACAAATGTATGTTCCCGAAACACGTCACTTAGCTAGGATACAATAAAGCCAAACAATTAAAACAAATAGTTTAAAGTTAATCATTTTAATTACATAATTACAAGAACATAAGCAGAAACAATAAATTGAAATACTGTACGAGCTAGGAAACAACATGTAGAGAGTGAACTTCAAAAGTAACTTTCCGTCATATCATAAACATTACCATGTTCAAGGTATAAATTAAGTGTTAACTTCCAAATGTTTTTAATACATAAAGGTTTGTCATTTTAAAAGATATGTTATATTTTTTACCACCCCGTCTGTGTCTATACAGTATTGTCTATTCAGTTCTGTCAAAAGGACGGCACTTTCTTGCCTGTTCTGCCAGAATGTTCTGGATATGTTCTTGGATATATTATTATGCCGTCAAGTACTGATGATGGTGAGGAAGACATGATGATAATGATCATTATCACCATCATATAATTATCAACAGTATTCTGTTATGATCATCATCGTTATTATCAGTGCATTATCATCGTGATCATCACCATTGGAACATTAGCATTACAATATCATTATCATCTTCATTATCATCATCATCTTCATTATCATTATCATCTTCTTCATCAGCCTCATTGTAAGCTTTATCATCCTGATCATAATCATCATCGGTACATCATCCTAATGAGAATATTATCATCAACAACAAAACAATGCCTTTCTCATCAGTAAATCATCGGAATATTTCGAAATAATGAAAACAGGTGATGATAATGTTTTTGATGATGATGATGCTGCTGCTGATGATGATGATGATGATAATGACGATAAAGATAACGATGGTTTTAATGATGATGGACGACATGATTGGTGGCAGTAACACCAAATAATGAAAGTTGCAAGTCAAAATTTTCTTGGTGACTACGTTATTTATTTTCAAGCAACTTCATGGTGGAAGCTTTATTCGTGGAAGCGAGGAATAACTTTTTTATCAAATACACCGATGTTTTCTTGTTGACTAACCTGGGAGCTTTTATAGTATGTACTTTACAATGTAGCTCATATGCACGCGCGGCTAACTTACGCTCGTGTTGTAGCGAACGGCATATACTAAGATACTTTAACAGTTTATTGTTTATGATTTGGTCCTCTAACTCATTGTATTTTACTATATGCATAACAGATTTAAGTTGTATTTTACTATATGCATAACAGATTAAAGTTGTATTTTACTATATGCATAACATATTAAAGTTGTATAACAGCTCACTGAATAATTAAAGCTTTTTGGAGAGCTATATGCGTTACAGTCCAACAAATAAAGCTCCCCGGACAGTAAAATTCACTGAGATTTATAAATATGCAGCGTGACAACGCATATTTAATAGTACATTTTTGTATTTTAGATGGATGTCAAATTAATTATTACGTAACTTACATAATTGAGACTTAGATAATAAATAGATACATAATTGAGACTTAGATAATAAATAAATAGATAAATAAATAAATAAATAAATGTTCTTCTTTTCTGTACTGTAAAATTGGCCGCAAGGCTAAGCATTCAGAACAATCATATGCATTTGTTAAAAATTAGTCAGAGAAATGTTTTACTTTTATTCGGTGTTTATATGGGCAATGTTTTTATATGACTCTCCGGTGAATGTATTTGCACGAGGAACTCATGTAAATGAAACAATGAGAATAATTTTCAAAAATATCAAAGTTCGCACAATCCTTGGTTTTGCGGCGATTAATATTAAATTTTATTTTGACAAACTTTTGGGGATCTCACACTTTCATGATGCATATGGTTGAATAGTCAGGAAAATAAAGATAAGCCCCGATCTGGCCACCCGCAACAAAGTCCGTAGGGCAAGAGTGTCATTGGAGTTTTATACTCAGCAATCGAAAAGCATGGTGCTACAGTCAGTCTGCCTACCAGCCATTGCGGAATCAAGCTATCCTTGCTAACACATCTGTCTATAAATTAGCCGTGGTGTTTTATTACCTTAACGAAAACAGGATTACCTCATCGCCATACATCCCTACCGATACATTAAGAACTATATGAGAAGTCCATCAGGTCGTCAACAGCGGACTTTTCAAGTGTCTAAACTCTTGACTCAAGAAGAAGAGCGCCGCAATGCATTTTAGGAGTATATATGGCGACTTAAAGTGCATATGACTAAATGAGGAAGACTTTGAAGAGATGGACAATGTATTCCTGTTGAATATCCCGTTTGCAACTACAAGGCAAGTATTATAGTTATATCTAATATTCCGTAGCTTAAATCTTTTTACAGAATGTGTATGTTGCTGAGAAAAAAGAGGTCTGTAATGTCATCTTCTATGTCTTGATAAACATTTGAACGCGTCCATAAACCAAATCATAGCAGTTCCATAGTATATAAAACTATAGCTTAAAGATTTAAAAAAAATATCTCTGTATGTGCAGCGTCCAGAGTTAGGAATACATTGTATGACCTTAAATCTACACTTGAATTTCCAAATGATATCTGGGGTATGGACATACGAAACAACCGTGTTTTTATCATTATCGCACGCAATTTAATCATTAATATAATTACAATGGTCCAAATTAATCTTGAAACAAACATAAAATGTTTCTTTTTTAAAAATAAATAGTCTCATACTGGATACTCGTCTTTAGAGAAATTCACAAATATAGCCCAGTAACGCATTGCATGACTTCCCTCGGAATCTATGATGAATCCTGAGACACATCCCATTGTTGTGGAAATACCTATTCCAGTACGTGTCATTCTGTGGTACAACGTGGTCATCGGAATATATCCAGACATCGTCAATTTTTTTACCATCCGTCCATAACTGTTTATCTGAAATGTTAAAAATAATGTTGATATAAATATTTTTACAACCAATTCATACTATCTAGTCTAATGCTTCGATCGATCTAATTTGGTAATCAGAACACATTGACGGTTAATCCTAGGCCTGAATGTTGCGATTGCATAAATAAGTCGTTTATAGCAGCAATACATGTGAAGTTTTACATGTCGTGTTTTATGTGCATCTGTTTATAGAGAAGCAATGACCCTGTGGACTGTGTATGGGGAAATTCATAAGCAAAATCATGATTGATTGAAAACGGACAAATTTATTTTGCCGAAAAGAACATAATAACATACATATAAAATAATTTTCCCATATCTGCGTGAACAAATACCGCCTAACAATAATATACAGAAACAACAACAACAATTACAAACTTATCTAAGTTAATGAAGGAACAGTAATCTGTCAAAAATTATTTTAAGACTCTAGTTAATGAAGGAACAGCATAACTGTCAAAAAATATTTTAAAATTATTGGTAACTCTTGATAAAAAAACATAGAGGAGGAGGAAAACGGGAGGTGGTGGTAAAATTATAGCAGAGCAGATGTAGCGTGCTTTTCCCTTCTAAAATTTTTTTCCAGAAAGGCTGATGCCGTTAATTAATTGGTTGTTAATCAGATTGGCCAATGCCAAATAACATTGAGAGTCAGTTTGATTTACTGAATGTTCAAAAATGACATAAAATATTTTATCGATCTTTAAAATACATTTATGTGCATCTGTTTATAGTGAAGCAATGACCCTGTGGACTGTGTATGGGGAAATACATAAGCAAAATCATGATTGATTGAAAACGGGCAAATTTATTTTGCCGAAAACATATATCTATAGTTTCAACATGATGGAACAGCAGCTTTTATCCTGTTAAACCACACCTATACAATGAACACAAACACAATTATCACTGGTCATTGGTGATTCGTGTTCAACCGGAAGCGAAGGTACACAGTGTAAATCTTAACTCTGACTTTCTCTCAGTTGATTTCATAAAAGAGGCAGTTGGGTGTCATAAGTTCAACAAACCGTTGTGTAAGCAATGGAAGAGATCAGAACTGTTCCGAAAATGATATGAAATGATTAACAAGTATTAGCATCTCCAAAACTGTCGCTCAGTCGTTTATTCGCAAAATATTTCTTTAGGTGAAACAGATTCCTCCTGAACAATAGAGCTCATGTTTCTACTTATAAAAGAAATAATCCGAATAGTGTTTACCCCGCAGGAGCCTATACATTAGTTTGGTTTAGAGCTTCGTACATGTAAACAATTCCCGAGGCGTACCCGTAGGCGATTTTTTTGTGGTCTTTTGTCGTCGAACATTTTATCAGGTGCTATTAAATTCTCCATTTCAACTGGTTCAGGGCAAGCGTGGTACGTTCTTAATCGTACATGTCAGGAACGGCGATAAAAACGCAAATTTCCGATAATAAGCCGGGACTGACACTCAGAATTATGAACACTAGAGGTAAATTACAAGTCAAAATTTTTTTCTTTGACTTGATTTAAAAAAAGGTCCCTTTTTAGCCTTTGTCCTACTTGTATATTTGAATATTAAGGGCGTATTAGTAAAACTTACAATTGCATGTTTTTATTATACTCCTGATGTACATAAACTTCCCGGTTTCTCTGATTTTAACAAGGGAAGCATTTCGTTTAGAACAAAACATGCTTGCACGTTGGTGTGTCATCTTTTTGCTGAAAAACTGAAATCCTCTGATGACTTCTCCATCTTTCGGGCATTCTGTAAGTAAAACAATATGTATATTTAGTGATGCACATTTTAATATATGTATCAGAGGTTTATATAAAACATTATAATACTGCGTGTTTGTAACGTCGCTTTTCATTGGATAATCGTGACGTTAATATTATTAGTTATAAAGATTTTTGACCCTATATAAACGGTTGTTTGTAAAATATAAACCAAGCCGCTAGGCCATATAACCTGTAAGAAATATTTATAACGAACTTATAATACAGCAAGCATCATTTTTATAGGAATAAAGCGAGATTTTTTTATAAATCGACAGCAGCCGTGTATATAAAACTTTATAATACTGCACGTTTGTAAAGTCACTTTTCATTGGATAATCGTGATAATTTGCTCTTCTAAATAGAAAACTATTACTAAAGGATATTGTCATAGTTGCCTTTTTAATTGTCGCATTTCCTTTAACGGTTTTTATTCGGTTTGTTAAAATTTCAAAGCAAGAAGTGTAAAATAGAAACACGGCTTTTACACAAATTCCATAAAACACATGGTTGGTCAAAGTATGTAGGACATGTGTGTGTGTGTGTGTGTGTGTGTGTGTGCGTGTGCGTGTGCGTGTGCGTGTGCGTGTGTGTGTGTGTGTGTGTGTGTGTGTGACAGAAAACAATTATTCATTTTTTATTTCACATCTGCAGCAGACATTAAAAAATATCCGTCATGTTACCTGGACAAGCGGAAATAATTTCATATGTATACGAAACCAGATGAACATATGGGTCATGAAAACGTATATTTTAACATTCTAAGACTATTTCGACGACCAAACATGTTCTAAAATAAAACTTTGAACAGTACCTTCACATTGTGGGACAAAACTCCAACGTCCAAACTGTGAACACGTTGCATATTTTTCAGAATTTTTATCAGTTACCTCGAAAAACCCATCTTGACATTTCACCGACTTATTTGCATTAACCTCATTCATGTTTCCACGGAAGGTAACGTTGAAGAAGTGTTGTTCAGGCGGGCATTCTATACAACGAAACAAGAAATAAGTACGAAAATTAGATGTTACAATCGAAGCACAATCAAAGCAATATCATAATAAAAACAGCACAGCTAACTTACGTTAAATTACAACCTGCTGGAACCGTAAGTGTTTAGCCTTTACTACAAGAAAAAATATAGTATGACCAGGCTCTATACCACGGTATGGGACCGTACACCGGATAATATCGTGTTTCGAGTCAAAATAGAATCGGAAAAAAATACCAGATGAAAGAAAAATAATATGATTTCACAGCTTACCCTTATTTGACCTGGGTTTGATTTTATGTTTCTCTTAATGTCAAGTAAATGAAAAAAGATTTGACGTACTTTTTGTAAAAAATCACGTGTATACTGTTGACTGCCCAGTCTGTGTACATTGTGGCATTGTGTACTCCATTTTACTTTGATAAGGACTTAAATTCAAAGTAAATCCATTACATAATTTCAGCGGGGTGCTAATGGTTAATGTCCTTATTGGTAATTTAAGTTCAAATTTTATCCCTGTTTAGCCCTTTTTCAATAAGCCTTTATTATTCACTCAGTCCTAAATGTAAATATGACGAAAATTCACGAAATAAACACAGCTAGCGTCGAAAACTGATACGAAATACCGGAAAACGGGTTTTAGCCCTTACTTCTAGCGCATTTTATTGCACGAGGCATATTTCATGCATAAGCGAATTTAGTCCTTTGATATTTTAAGCAATTGTAAATTTAGGTAATGGTCGATATATAGTGTGTCGGACCTGATTCATAGTTTCTATAATAACGTGGTATCGGTCTGAGAGACACCGTAAAGGTGATATGGCGACTTTTGAACTTCACAGCGTAGAGTGATAAGCAGTTCTAAGAAGGCGACTCTAACCACTTTTTCTGTTGTTTTCCTTATTAAAGATTATCACCTCGTCTGAAGTAATAAAGTGTATTCAGTGGACAGCGAAAGAAGCTTAATCCTTACCTAATTGTTAATACTTTGTTTACAAAACTGAGTATTTATCTGTCCTCTCAAAGCTCGACTTTCATTTAGGAATTTGAAATATTTCATGTGAGTTATCCAGTTAGCGTACGGAATGTCGCTGGTTCTTCACAATAAGCATGGAACAAGAATAGTTTGGAACTAGCAAACACGACAGAAAACACGATCATTCAAACCTTGACCCAATAAAGAAAAAGCAAAATGAAATCGCTACCTTTTTGGGTGCATCGTCCTGTTTCCTCTTCGCATACACTTGTTTCATTGCAGTTGCACTGTTGTTTTTATTTTCGAATAAGAAGAAGATAACATTTAAACTGAACATAATTTTATATTTAAATATATTATATATTTTACATTTTACAAATAGTTCTTATATACATGTAATACAATAGTCGAGGTTTAATCTAATGTAGAACTGAACAAGAGACTCAAGTTAATTAAAGAAATAGCAACTTTTGTCAATGGCTAGATGATTACTTCTTTTGATTTACATTATACCGTGCCCTACCACATATATGCTTATCAATGCGGAAATTGAACATAAAATCTAAACAATGTCTAATATAAATTGCCAGACATTTTTTTTCTCAATTTTGAACACTTAGTCACACATATGCAGACCAATGTGTATAATATCTCTATGTCACGTATATTAACCATCTAATTTACTCATACGTATTTAAAAATGAATTTAAGATACTTTTAACTGTGTGTAAACCTCCGAATGATGTTCTTCATTAACGATATTATACAGAAAAAAAACTAAAACATAAAGCATACATATTACCCGTATTTCTACACCAATTTCACGTACCGAATGTTTTTTGTTTTGTTTATTTGTTTTAACATACACATAATAAATATCCATAGTGTATGCTTAAATATAGAGACACTTAAAACACATATTGCTTTATTTGACATAAAAACACTAAATACCTGTACCCGTATAACTTTATTTAACAGAAATACACTAAAATACCCGTTATTACTTTAACAGAAACTCACTAAAATACCCGTATTACTTCATTTAACAGAAACACACTAAAATAGTCGTATTTCTTATACAGAAACTCACTAAAATAACCGTATTACTTTATCTAACAAAAACTGACTAAAATACCCGTATTACTTTATTTAACAGAAACACACTAAAATTACCGTATTACATTATTTAACAGAAACACACTGAAATATCCGTATTACTTTATTTAACAGAAACTCACTAAAGTACACGTTTTACTTTATTTAACAGAAACACACTTAAATACCCGTATTACTTTATTTAATAGAAACACACTAAAATACCCGTATTACTTTATTTGACATAAAACACATTAAAAACCAATATTACTTTATTTGACAAAACTCACTTAAATGTCATTAATTCTTTATTTGACAACTTTATTTGACTGAAACATACATTTACCCTTATTTGACATAAACACAATACCCGCATATCTTTATTTGACAGATCACACTTATACTCGTTGTTTCCGCATTTGACAAAAATACGCCTATTTACACGAATTCATTATCCAATATAAAATGACAAATATCTAGTCAAAAATGTTCAATTTAGGTAAAATTGTCCACCGTTCAATCACTGAAGGGCAGTTTTCATACAGCAACCTTTTCAGATATGCTAAGTAAATGCTTTAATAGTCAAGAACAGTACAGTATCCACTGAACCAAGTGCACTGAAATTGTCTATAGCACAAAATTGAGCGCTAGTATGTGAAATAAACATAATATTTTCTGATTTCCAAATTTCATCATTTTGAATGATCACGAGGAAATACTTATTTCAGAGAAAAATATACATATGCAACCCTATGTTGGATTAATATATTTATATAGAAAAGTAATTTAAAAATAAGCTTAGTAAATTCATTCATGTTTAAAATTGATTTATTACGAAAAAAGCTTACCAAAGAGGGTCGTTCATCCATGTCATTCCGTAATACCATCACACAGTGTTTGTCTGTAAACGCTGGAGACGTTCCGTGCGCGTGAAGCTCGCAAAGTCGAAACAAACGCTTAAACCCTATAGCCTTACAGCTCGTTCTTCGCGTGCACTCACCGACGCACTGTTCCAGTGAATGGTCAACTATCGTAAGAAACTTTGAATTCTTTGCCGGGCACGTGTGAAACTTACTTATACGAAAAGAATATTTACATAAAACACTCATTTTAGACAAAACATATATAGTACAACATATAACTAGTAGGAAACGATAATATTTATTCTGATTTATCATATCTGCCTATGTTGAACTAAATCAACGTGTAACAAGCGCGTTCCCTGAGCCACTAGTTTGATTGACTTTGTCCCACCGTCCTCATGTAACTTATTAGTTATTTATCTTTTCAGCTGAATGGAGCTTTTATAATTAAAATGTTCGTGTGTCAGATAAGTCTTTTTTACCAATTTGACATGCATATTTAAATTGGTGTGTTAGATGAAGCATACGCGTTCACTAGATGTAACTTATAAAATAATCAAACCTTATTTCAAAACTATTTATTTATTAATTACATAGTGGTTAAGTGTTAGTTTTGTGTATTCTCATGAGTGGTGTATCATTTTGCATATGGAATGTGATTATGTCACACACACACAAGCAGCAACGAACACATTCAAAACAAAATACATGTATGTTACACATGTGTTTTAATATTTCCACTGCACATTTATAACACCTGCATGTTACACATTGGTTCCATTCGTTACAGATGTTCCTTTAATAATCTTACACCGGCTGCCGGTGGTAACGGGCCTCTACAGATGTTCTACTCAACACTTATCCGAAAGCTAGATATTCCTGCCTGTGACGACAGCCAGTGTAGATTCATCTTCTTTCATATTTCAGTAGCATATGAATTTACTTTATTCATAACGGGGTAAAGGACGTCATCCTAAGAACGGGATGCAACCTGATTCATGACTAGAGAGGGATGGCGAGGCTAAGGAAATACTAGAATTTTTAAATGATCATAATCTTAATTATTTTAATAATGGTCAAGTAACAAGAACCAGTAGTTACGATGCCCATAAAGACTCCGCGATCGATCTTTCCATAGTCACATCAAATGAATATATTTTATCAGAATACTTAGTATTAGATGATACTTTGGGCAGTGATCATTTTGCCTACCAATACTCTGGACAATACCGATATCTAAACAAAAAATTCTGTAAAATAGAAGGCCCCTTAATTATGGTGGAATGAGGTATGCCCTCAAGTCATCAAAGAAAGGGGACAAAAAAGAAGAAATCATCAGTGTTCAGGTTTTATTAAACCAAAGCGTATAATATGCAACTAGTTTTATTACCCTTCACTTTTTTCGTAATGTTTATTTCCCATAGGCCTCTTGGAGTTATTCTTACTGTCAATGCAAGTGTACTACGTGACTAAGAATTTTGTATTATTACCCCTCACTTTTTTCGTAATGTTAAATTCCCGAGTTATTTTTACTGTTAATGCAAGTGTACCACGTGACTAAGAATTTTGTACTGTTACATAGGTAACAGTATTTTTTATAACAGTATAAAATCTGGTCACGTGGTCTATTTTCAAAATAAAATGACCGCCATTTTTTTTCTCGATTCATTCCTATTTTCGACGTTAAACCCCGATCGGACATCAATTTCTTCTCTGGAGTAACTATGACACCTATAAAATTTAGTAGTTTGCTTCGCGTTTAAAATATCTTTTTGTTGAATCGTCAAAAAGTAAACATCCGTTTTCAACGGAAGTAATTGCAATGTAAATAATTATGTGTCAATTAAACTGGAACATGCAGACTATTTAAGCATGCAACAAAGGATTATTTAACAATTTTAATCAGTGAAACGTTACAGACATGGTAACCAGACATAGGATATCATCGTTATTTTGTCAAAAACCATGCGAAGAATATTCTGGAAACAGAAGGATCAGATTTCACAGATCATAACC